GAGAGAGAGAGAGAGAGAGAGAGAGAGAGAGAGAGAGAGAGAGAGAGGGGAGAAAGAGTCAGAGACCAGGGCTGCGAGCGAGCCCCGAGGTGGATGGGATAAAAAAAAAAAACAAAAAAAACGTGACGGACTCAAAGATATAGGTATACGTCGATATTACGGGGCAGCGCAATAGCGCAGACCAACGACCGATGCCAGATGAAACGGTCAAAGCTAAAAAGCTCTCTCCGCCGAAACGGGCTATATATTATCTGCAACCCTTCAAACACAGAACACGCCCGAGATCCATACATAAACCATGTGCGTGAGGCTCCTCTGTGCGCCGTTTCTCTGCTTACAAGTCCGGTGCGTAACCGCCATCGTCTTCGTCTATTTTTCAGTCGTTGTGCGTCGATTCTACGACACGTGTCGTTGCCACGCAACTATCGACACTACTTGGAACGGTTGTCAAGTTTTTTGCTTTGTCACCGTAATATAACGTTCCTATTACGATTCTAACGCGGCGAACTTGTAAAAAGAGAAATGGAGACCGCTGGTTACAGCTACGCGTATGAACGGGACACTTGAAGAGGGTGAAATGGGCGTGACCTACGAGCCCTAGGTGAGACAGTATGGACCAATACGGTACCATTACTCGATGTGGCAACAGTTGCAAACGCAAGCGCCGTCAGGATTGCCGCAGCGAGCTGGCGATAGGTTGGTGTGCACGGGTGTTTAATGTACGGGCGCAGACTCGGGACATCGGGAACAGTGTTCAAATGGCTACGCCTGCCTCGAGCTCGCGTTCAGATTGGTTACCAAATTAACCCACTCTCTGCCAAGAGATTTGCGTCACTTGCCTCTAACCATTCCGTCTTCTTCCCTTTCATCTCTATTTTATTGCAACAGTCCAACGTTACGACTTGCTACTTTCACCATCCATTGTACGATACGAACAATTCCAGAAAAATAATTTACATTTCTTCCTTTTTTCTGTTTACCTTTTCTGACGCTCTATTAATCAATCAAAGAATTTAAAGAAGAAAATTCTTGGCACATATCTTCCATCGGGTTCGAGCTCTTGCTCTTTTAGGTAACCGTGCTTCTCCTGCTCTAACTTTATCATCACGAACCTGTGAAACATATAATTTATAAATTTTTAACTTGTATTAAACTGCTCGATTGCAAATGTCACTCGATTAAGATAATATCATATTTACCAATCGCTGAGAGCCATTCAACTCACAGACTTTGACAATTTCTCTTTCAATTTTTAGCATGCGGGCCACAACGGTTTATGAACGAATAGAAATATCGGTTTCCTAGCTATCTTAGCCTCCTCGAAACCGTTCTGAAAATCCGTCCATTTGAACGCTCGGTCAAAGTTACTTTCCAATTTCGAGTGTTCGGTGTTCGGTAGTGAGACTATTTCCTATCATTTGATCTGCTAAGTTAACAAGACTAAAGAAACTAAAATACTTGATGCACTTCATTAAATTTTGCACGATTTCAATAATCGGAATGTGACCTAAAGGAACAAACAAAAGAATCGATCGTACGCGTCTTTCTTCACGACTACAAACGAGATACGAACAAATTACGGACGTAGGCTCTTCTAGTGTATCAATTCTACATCGATGGTCGATAATTTGCCGAAAATGATAACTTATTCTCTAACTTTCCTAAATTATCATCTGGCGATTACTTAACCTCTTCGAAGAGGTCGACACAGTCTAGAACGAGGTGGCGTCATCTAGCGGTAAACCGACAACTTTCTCTATAACCTAAAATATTTTATCATTGAATAATCCAAGGTTTTAAATAATAGTCATTGTGTCTTTGTACAACCATTCGAGGACACAGTTTGGCGAAATTTTTCATCGCCATAAAATATATTAAGAGTTATATTTATATAGTTACGCGACAAGTAAATACATTATCATACATACGAAAACCAAGTATGTTCGCAATCACGTCGTCGTGGCGATACTGTACACGCTTAAAATTTACCGCCATACAGATAAGAACGAAATTGTATTGTTGCATTCTTACAACCTATCGCAACCTATTTAAGGTTATATTTTACACATTTTTTTGTGAAACATGAATAACCGGCCAATCATCTTGTACTCCTAACGATTCGTCCTTCCAAGATAACTATTAAACGTATAATCGAATTGCTCGTACGACAATGTGACAATGGTGAAAAACAAATTCACATTAAGAGATAGGTTAAGATTCTTTCAAAGTTCTTTTAACGTTGCATTCTTTTTAATTGACACGAGAGAATAACGTCCTAGTTGAGAAAAATGAGCAAACTATGGAACTATCTAATATTTCAAGGATGGATATCGTATTTAATGGCAGCCGGCTTGCTTATTTTCACGAGCGGCTTCCTACTTACTCGCGTTTCCAGATCGGAGCGCGCAGAATGCAAATATTGCACAAATCCTGGTGGATGCAACATCGAAGAGCTCCTTCAAGATCCCAAAATCGCTGCAAGTACTTGTCTCGAAAGGAATACTCGCGTCGTGTTGTTAGTCGTTGACGCCTTGAAATATGATTTTGTACACTGGTATAACGATAACAGTTCTGCCTCATTGTATTACCACAATAAGTTGCCAATAATCCACGAGCTGTTGCAAAATCAACCTATGAATTCACGTTTGTATAAATTCATAGCGGATCCACCAACCACGACTATGCAAAGGTTGAAAGGTTTCACTACCGGATCTTTACCTACTTTCATTGACGTTGGATCAAATTTTGCATCCGAAAGCATAGACGAAGATAACATTATCGATCAAAATATTGCCAAAGGTATTGTTTTCATGGGCGATGATACTTGGACAAATTTATTTCCTGGCAAATTCAAACGTCAATTTCCATCGCCGTCTTTTAATGTTTGGGATCTCGATACCGTCGATAGAGACGTTCGATATCGTATATTCTTTGAAATGAAAAAGAGAGATTGGTCCCTACTCATAGCGCATGTTCTTGGAATCGATCATTGCGGACACAAACACGGCGCCAATCATCCTGAAATGACAAGAAAATTAAACGATACCAATACTCTGATAAAAGAAATCATTGAATCTTTGGAAGAAGATATGGTACTTTTTGTTGTGGGCGATCATGGAATGACGGAGAGCGGCGATCACGGCGGCGATAGTTTAAACGAAGTCGAAGCTGCCATGTTCGTTTATTCTATGCTTCCTCTTCTAAAACACGATTTGGCTCGCGATACCGTGAATCAAATCGATCTGGTTCCTACGTTGGCATCCATTCTTGGGACGCCTATACCTTTTTCCAACTTAGGATCCGTCATACTCGGTTCGCTGCCGAGTTTGACGAGAATTAGAGATTCGGAACAAGGTTTATGGTATTCGTTGCATTCGGTATGGAGAAATATTGTACAAACAAAAAAATATATAGACACGTATTCTATGGATAACTATCTGTTTTCTGAAGACCAACTCGAGAATTTAGAAAATGTATATAATCATCTATTCAAACGGATAAAGCATGTACATACCAACGAAGAATTTGAATTATTCATTCAGGATAGTAACAGCTATTTCAAACTACTTAAAGATACATGTTCCAAAGTCTGGGTTCAATTTGATTCTAGCCTAATGTCGAAAGGCCTACTTTTAATGTTTTGCACATTATTTTTCTATTACCTTTTTATTACAGGCATTCCGGAAAGTCGTATGTCGAAGATATTTCAATCGGCATTTTTACAATGTTCCGTGTTAGCAAATTTAATTACTGCACTGGTAATCTTTTTCTTATTCTTCTTCGATATTTTAGAGGAACTAAAAAATACCACGTTCTTTGCTACCGGTGCGGTGTCCATAATATTATTAGTAGTATTAATCGCTAAGAATTGGGATGTAATTTCGATGAGATGGTACGATTATCGTAAGATTAGGAAATTGATTTACATTGCTAGAGTGATACTCCTTTTAACGGTATGCAGTCTTTTCTCTAACAGTTACATTGTCGAGGAAGATAATGTACTATCCTTTCTACTTGTTACTCTTGTTTGGTTACTTACATTTAATATAAGAAAAGAAAATTCTAACGAAATTTCGGATAGGAAAGCAAAGCCATTCTTTAAATCGCCAACAAAGTCAAATTTAAAGGCAATTATAATTGTCATCGGTTTAATAGCATGCATTTCTATAAGACTGTCTCATTATTTTTGGCGTTGTCGAGAGGAGCAGGAACAACGCGTGTGTTCTCTCTTTGTAACTGGAAAAGCAGGTTCTATAACAACAAACAATATAGAACGTGTTTTACTTGCCATCACCTTGATTGTACTTGCATTATACATTACGATAGTAAGACTGTGGTTACAAAATTGTGGGAATCTTACCGGTTTTTCTCCTGGTGTTCTGGTAGGACAATATTGTCCTGTCGTAATTGGTGTTTGCATGGGTTGTTATTGGGTCCTTCAGCGGTTACCTAAATTTGTCAAAATAAAATTCGCATTGTCTTGGCAAGTAAGTACATTGCCCAACATAGTGTATGCGTTGTGTGTGTTTGCAATTTTTGTTCTTTACTACCGTCCGCTCAGTATATTTCTACTGCCAAAGAAGAAAGAATCGATTAATATATACAATGACGAGAATATTGTACCCCGATTATTTGAGAAAATAAAGGAGTCGATTTATCGTAAGAAAATAGACACAGATGAAACACCAGTTGTTTACGGCTTGGGCACTGCTTATAGTGCTGCATTTATCTCGTTGAGCGTATTTCTTATGCTGTTATATTCTTTATTATTAGGGGATATTTTATCGCCTAGTACTTTCTTGATGTTTATATCTTGTGCCTCTGTTTTGGGCGTATCTGCGATAGAACGATACAAGAATGCTAACAGTATATGTAAGTATCTTTAATAAGTGATTAATACACGGATAATTTGTAATCTGTATCGTATAATGTACTTTCAATACTATTATTTCCAAAACAGCAGAGCTTGTAGAAGTATCTACGCCTGCCTTGATATGTTGGTTTTTGATAGCCGAATATTTCTTTTATGGAACCGGGCATCAACCAACTTTTCCTACTATTCATTGGGATGCTGCTTTTGTAGGCACAGGTGGACATTTCTATGGAAGCTTCCTACCAGCAATCCTAATAGGTATGCGTGATTATAATTATATTAATGTTACATTAATGTATCCGATGTATAACTTCTCTTAACGACAGGGATAAACACGTTTGGATCGCACATTATATTAGGTGCAACGTTACCATTATTGGTGATCGTACCATTTACTTTGTACCTTGTATTTCCAAAGTTAGTTAAAGTAAAATTTTTGGAAAACGACATGAAAAGAGGAGAACTACTTCTGTTTGAACAAGACTCTGTATTTCATACTGCAATTTTCTCGGTCGCAGGAAAGTATACACTTCTTCACGGAATTAGAGTAAGTTATTATCATTTTTAATATTTCAAAGTAATTAGTTACATATTTTGAAAAGTATAAAATCGTAAACGCTAAAAATACTATCAAGGAGATACTAGAAAGAATACCATTAAGATGCAGTGTTTTCCAAAGCTTTTCTTTTTTAGTGGAGTAACATCTAAAAAATTTGGAAATCGCTGATTTAAAGTGTAAAATTGATTAAAATTAAAATATTTTTCTTTTCAAACTTGATATACGTTATAGACTTTCGGCAGCATGCTTGCCGCGACGATTCACTGTCGGCATTTAATGGTTTGGAAGATCTTCGCGCCAAAGTTAATATTCGAAGGCTTGGGACTGTTAGTAACGTTAAGCAGCGTCCTAGCGTCCTTTTATATGGTGTTCAGAATCGATCAACAAATGGAACACCTTATATCCAGAGTGACGAAAGGCAGATGATAGTGATCACTTTCGATGGTGTATAATACAGTTAACTAGTAAAGTACCAATGTTTTCAAACGTAACTTTAATATAAGAATGTGTGCGGTGGCTCGTTACTCGTAACATTAGAAACGTGTTTTTATCGAAGAACAAACAAATAGATATTCAACGTCAACAATCACCGATACTGCCAATGTTTCCAGAATTTTATATGACTTTATATAAGAGACAGTTAAACGTATTTACTACAGAAGTTACGCCGAAGATCTTAGTACGCGAGTATGAAACATTGTTTTCCTTTGGTTCGTTAAAGACCAAGCTATAATATTAATTCTGGTGCTTCCTAACACACTAACGCTACCCTGCGTGCAATGCATTGCTGATTACAGAGGAACAAAGCAACGCACTTGATGCAGGATTGCGTCCATGTGCGCTGGTATCTGCTTGACCGATGTACGTATTAGTTTTACCGTTTAATATTCGTTATCGTTAAGTAAATTCGGATAAATAAATGTCGTAGCGTGCGTTACCTTTTCATTTGTCGCATATGAAACTGTATTATAGTATGTATTATAAGTCTAATAGAAAATCTAATAAATCTAGTCTTATATATATCTTATATATATATATATATATATATATCTTTCAGGTATCTTTCTTCTTATGCACTAAAAAATAGTAAAATTCGTAAAGTTCGTGCCTTTCGTTGACATATGGTTTTGTGTTGTCTATGTATTTTGCAAAACACTTTATTGAACGAAATTATCAAGCGTACACTTTATGTATTGTATGCGAATGTGATCATTTTAAAGGCAAAAGTTTGTAATTACAAGTGGTGGAAGTATTCCTGCTGAATCGGTAGCCTAATGATGATTGTGATGCCTATGTCCTTGATGGTTGTTTCTCAGGTACTCCATCCAGTCCGCCCATTTGTTACTATCCTCGTAATCGCTGTTATCCTGTGACAAACGAACATGTTCGCGGTATTCATGGTATATAAATCGCACATACCTAGTTTTTGTAATAATTATTTTGAAAGCCTGGCACTTGCATATTAGGCAATACCGGCATTTGTATCTGAAAACAAATGAAGCTATCATGTTGCATAAGACCCCTTGTTGTCTTCATTTGTTCTATCATATTTGTACCAAATATTAAGTTTATCTTTAAATGTGTAAGCTATAATTTTCGAGTTTTGCGATATTTTTCATTAATATCATTCTTTTTTATCTAAAAACTTACAAATAATTTAATTCCTCCGCCTTGGTGGCCAGGTGTAGAACCTCCTCCTGCCTGTACGGACTCTACGGAACCAGGCGGCAAACTCTGATATCCCTGATGCATTTGCATTTGAACTCCACGCGGTTCTTGCTTTGGACTGGAGTTACTTTCTTCCTTTATTAATAGCTCGGTGTCACTGTCAATTTGTCGTTTTTCCGCAGCATCCGCATCACCAGGATAAGATACCCAAAACGATCCTGGAGCCTTTTCCATCGTTCGAGTCATCTTCGGTCCAAATTTACCAGAACCCGATCCATAGGAAGCTGGCATTTCGTAATCGAATGTGCCCAACTTACTCTTGATAGCATCTAGAAAACTCATATCGATGGGTATATTACTAGTAGTGGAAAGAATATCGTTATTCATCGATGGATAATTAGCACCCATTGCTCCTGTGAAAACATTAGCAGACGCCATTTTAGCGTTCACTGCACTTTGAACTGCCAGAGTAATATTTCTCTGCAAATCCGACAACATATCGAATACTTGGCTCAGAATAGCCATTTTTTGTTGGAAAGGGAGCATTCCATCGACAGGGGATTTTGGCCACATACCCGGTCCAAAGGGTTTGAAAGACTTCTTTGGTGACATTGGTGATGTAGCTTTTTGATACGCAACTAAATCGTTCATTGTTGTCACCATATTACTCTTCAAACCGCCCAACTCAGACAGTATGCTATTAACAATTGTATCTTTAGCAGCGTTAATTGATGATAGATCATCAATGGATCTTACAATTTTTGCTTCTGTAGCGTCCTCGTCAGATTCGATAGATCTCGCAAAGTCACTCTTCGTACTTGGACTTTCCTTCGCGAGCATGGTTTTGTTCAACTTTAAAGTCTCAAATAATTTATCCAAAAAATTTTCTACCTTTTCATCGTACTCGATCGGGCTTGGAATCATTGACGATGGAAACCAAAAATCAGGTGGTACAATGGTGCTTTTCGTTGTTGAGACTTCCGTTGATGTTGGCAGTGGTGTACTAGTAGCAAGGTTTTTAAACAAGGTATCCAAGAAAGCAGATTTCTTTGCAATGAACATGGATGGATCCACCATTGATCCAAACGGTGAAAACATCCCTGGCATGTATTGTTTAGGTGCAGTAGCACCGCCAAATTTTTTTAGAAATAGACTAGTCTCATCCTCTGACTCTTCAGAAATTGGAGCAAGAGTAGGGTAAGGAGGTGGTGGTCCCAAACTCTTTGTTTCTGGCTTACCACCATCCATGATCGATCGAAGCTTTGTTATGGATGATTCATCTGTACTTCTCCTTTTACGAGAAAGACCACCTTTCATAGTATAGTCAGGTACAGTATTCAACTCGGAAAATGGTGATAGAGGACCAAACTTAGGACTCATAGAACCAAAAGGCTTTGAACTGAAGGGTCCAAAGATTCCACGTTTGTATGAAGCGCTACCATCTTCTTTATTACTTGTACCTACACTGTTTACCGACTGTATTTCATCAGCAGCATTGTACAAAGGTAATCCACTTGCAACGTATGGCATAAATGGTCTGAAACCCATCGGATATGGGTACGGGTATGGGTATGAATATGGCCCAAATGGCCCCACACCTCCAAATAAATTGGATAATAAATCTGTCTTCTTCGAAATCATAATTTTGGGATCAACAAATTTTGGAAACAGCGGCGATTTTGGTATATATGGCACTGTTATGGTGTTCATTCCTGATAATGGTGGTACAATAGCTCTTGAGTAAACTAAAAGTAAATTTTGTATACAATAAATATATACATATATTATATACATTTACATTATTTCCTCGTATATTTATTACAGAGAGAAAAAAAAATCATACAAAATATTTAAAAAATTATATATTTTATATTACCAGGTTTGGAAGCAAACTTTGCCCATGGTGCTCCGGGGGGGATTTTACCAACTGCACTAGTTGTTAAAACTATTAAACACGTAAAAAATGTGAGACCTTTTGAAAGAAACATCTTGCACTAAGTTATCGGTCTGCATTCTGTTCTTGCTTTTATAGCAATGGCCAGACAATAATACTTGCAAATCTTTTAAGACTATTGGTGTAGGGCTCATCCTCTCATTTAAATAATCCATCGTATACAGAAGGTGCACTTGTGTTTTATAATTAGCCAATATGCTTTCATTGTATTGCTTAGGAAAGCAATTTCCTTCTCATTCTGCCAATTGTACCTTAACATTACAATGGCTTAATTCAAACATTATTATCCATATTAAATGTATGTATTTGAACTTTTTTTGTTATTCATATTTTCATTGGTGGAAAAATCATTGCATTATTTCTTATCTTCTGAATATGAAAGTGGAACGATTTCATGATCCACCTTGTAATCCGATTGCAATCGACTTGCAAACGAACCTGCGAGAAACGCGTTATTCGTTTGTCGATAATAATACACTGTAGCAGCTGTTTTCATTATTTGGCAATTACCAATTAATTGTATTTGCAAACATACGTTCGTGCTTATCGTTCATATCTAAATGGAAATAAGGAAGTCTAATGACAGTAAGTAACAATATATTTAAAATACGTTATTGAAAATTACAATACTACTTTATTATTTTAATAACTATCCACGATAAAAGTAATACACATAAAATTTACTCAACATTTTCTTTAATGAAATCAATCAATCTACTGAATATCTTTTATTCAAATTTATTCTGAATTTGTATAGATTAAAAAAATAAAGTCATTTCTTATAACTTTGCTATTTTAGTTGCTATGGAAAATAAGGACATCATGACAAATGCTACTTCTGTATTTGGAAACTTCCCATTACCAAGGACTGTTTTACGACAATGTTCAAAGAGCACAAATATTATTCATGCGATAAATAGATTATTCAGTATGTATCATCCCAATGATGGTATAGCTGCATACGAACATGTGTTAAAAACTCTTCTTGTTTTATCTGAGAATTTCGATAATAACACTCAGCAACAGATCATTTCTATGGTACCATTGCCAAATTGTGCTTCAAACGAAGCAATTAGAGATATAATGTATAAAATTACTGGTTTAATTAGAACAGCTGATAGCATGACCACATGCCAAAAGTACGAGTTTTATTAAATTCTTCCTTTATACATTATCAACGCGTAACAACATTTTTATATTTTTAAAGAATTACTGTCGTTCCTGAATACAAGCATGGTGCAGAAGTTTCAACTGAGAAACCGAAGATTCATTTAAATCAGAATGTTTTGATTGATGCATCTTCTCAAAATGTTGAACTAGATGAAAATGTAAAAGTTCATTCACACCACGATTCGACATTTCTATCAATTTATTAATTTAATTTTAATATCTAAACTGTCATTTTCATTTGTACAGTTTGTACCTTCGGTACCGGAAGTATTTCGAGGTTTTCCTCCTAATGAAATTTCTATGATTCATAGTCACATAAGGAATGTGAATTATGTATACGATACATTAGATTCCAATATTCCATGCATAGAACCATGTATCAATCTTAGACAAAATGTTGCATTGCAAACTAACAAACAAGAAGAATCACCAAAATATCAGCCAAACTTACAATTTAAATGGATTCATACACCTCATCCTATATATAAAAATAATACTTACCAAGTTACTACACCTACTTGTCAAAAAAGTTGCCTCAAGTCAATGGACAATAAATGTATTCAATTACCCATTAATAAAGTCAATAATCATAAGCATTGGAATGTAGCTAACATGTCACATATCCCACACCAGGTTTGCAAAAATTAATTGTTAATAATATTTGAGTAGTATTAACAATCATTGGTTATTTTAGTTTGATGTTCTTCGAACTGAAATATGAAAATGATATTACAGGAAAGTACATGTTGCAAAAAGAAATTATGTAAAACTGGAATAATTTCAAATAAACAAAATAAAACTGAAATTTCAAATTTGGAAGTAATAAATATTGGTACATCCTTTTCAAACTCAGGAATAAACTGTTGCGAAGTTTCACAAGATTTTAAAAAGTACAACTGTAATCTAAACGAAAATAAAATTACCAATATGGAAACACAGAAATGTTTTAAGTTAGCATTGGAACCTGAACAACAAGCAATTCAAGAAGATATATACAAAATGGATGTTGTATGTTGGAATGAAAAAATTAATAAAACAATGAATAATCAGGTAAAAAAGAAACAATATTTATATTTATACTAATTCTTTTGATAATTTGCTGTATATCTATACTCTTTTAATAATATTTTAGTTGTCGACGGAAAATAATTTTACAATGGACACTTTTATAGTAGATAAGAGACTTAAAACTAGCTTGCAAAATTTGTTAAAACGTGCAGAAGAAGAAACTTTGATTGGTAATGAAATTGAATTTATATTTGTATAATTATATTTATGTAATTTGTTGATTGTTACTTTTTTTTTAATATAATGTTAAATATAATATTTCCAATAGTCCCTCAAACAAATTCACTGCAAACAGTTTCTGCTGCATCCAAACTTTGGAAATTTGTAACTCTGAAAGACCTAGAAAATAAAAATCTATTAGATTCTTCGATAAGCGATAACACTAATAATTCAAATGATACTAATGCATCAAACGATATAAAGAAATTAAATGGAAAAAAAACGTCAGGATTGTCAAATATATATCCAAAACCAGCTCAATTGCAAATGCTTCAGAAGAGTTTAAATATTACGCAAACAGTGGGATGTGAGAGAAAGGACAATACGGAAAATTTACCATACAAGTACCACCAAAGTTATCGCATAAATTTAATATATATTCAATGATTAACAATTTACTTAAAACAATTATTTACTTTCAGATCTCCAGCGAAGCAAACAGAACGAAATAATGTGAATATTTTACAACAAACTGCATCTGTTACAGAATTAGCTACATTTAAGAAACGTTACTACGATACGCTACTGAATATTCAACAAGCTAAAGGTTTACGAGGACTTATATAATTTCTTTAAATTTTCGTTGAAATATGATGTTGTATATATATATATTTTTTTTTTTTATAGTGGCAGTGGCAAATTCCTTGGCAATATCATCTGTGGAAAATTCCACTAAATACGATCCGTATTATTCAAATCGCTCGTATCATCATCATCATCAGCAGCAGCAGCAGCAGCAACAGCAGCAACAGCAGCAGCAGCAGCAGCAGCAGCAGCAGCAGTTGTTGCAACAACATGAACAATTAACTGTAAACCCACAATTTGCAGTGCGTACTATGGCTCAATCAAAATTATCAAACATACATAACACTCCGTACACCTGGGTGAGATATAATGATTGGAGACATCCAACAATGAGACAATTAAGATACCCACAACAAGTGAGATGCTGAATATTACCCGAATATATAAATATTCCTAACTATTTCTTTCATTATTTTAATCGCGATCTCTCTCTTTCTTTAGTCCCTGTTTCACCATTCAAGGAACAAAGAGTAAGTTTTTTAGGTGTATTTTTTTTTGACGATGTTGTATATTTTGTTATTCTTTTATCCTTTTGTCAAAAGGAATTCTATACTACATTATGTAAAAACAGTGGATATTCAGTGTTTCGCGCAAGATAAAAGTAAGGAAATGAAGCAATGTGTACAACGTAAAAAACTAGAGGACATAGTTGGAAAATTGAAAGAGATAGAAAACATTAATATAAACGATTAAAGGATTTTCACTAACCTTTGCGAAGTTTTCGGTTCTTTGAAGTTCGAAATATGTTCATCTATAAACAAATACAATATTTACGCATGCATATCGATCGTATCGATAACTATAAAAAATGCAAATCATAATAGCATTTGTTAAAAATGAATTTACCAAATAATAGAAGTTTCTCAAAGAATGTGGGTGATGGCAATTGAATTAGGAAAATACATATCAGGTAAAATTTGTCATTCTACTATTTATCTTGCACCAGTCTCGACACTTAATCGTAACATTGGTACGTGTAACGTATCAATGTTGTGTTTTGCTTTCGCTTAGTTTTTGCTATCGTGTCTTCTGGCACTGGTAAAAGATAATAATTGTGAGTGTTATGTTATATTAATCGCGAATGTTTTTTTAATAATTTCGTTTGTATTTCGGACGATTGCGTGACAATTTCTTTTCTAATTGTATATACGCAGGATATTCTTACCGGCGCCAATCGAACCTTAATACTTACAACATATTAACTAACAAATGTACACGTGTTCTTCGATTAACATAGAACAAAGTTGCTTCTAATTGCTAACATTTTGTGGTATATTCATAATTAACATATAACGTCATACGCACTCTCGACTTTGTACAGTCTATTCTATACAAAAGTCGTTTATCATTTATCCCTAAGTGTACAAAATGACTTAAAAGAATAAACGACAATTGCTAACTTAGGTGTTATATGGATCATTGATCGTTATTGTCCAGAACAATCGCTCTGAAGCACGACAAATTACCAACACGTTAAAAGAATAAAGAGTACGTAATTTTGGTAATTTATCGAACCACATTTATCAACACACAATAATTTATTCTCAACCCAAAACACATTCAATATGGTACCCTCATAACGGGCCTAAGATAGAAACATCGTTATATTTAATATTTGCTATTATTAATATTGACAACATCATTCTAAGACACAAAAACGTATTTGTGTACCAGTGATGCTCTCAATATTTCATTATCAATATCTATTTAGGAATTGGAACACATCCAAAGGATCCATACCACCAATATTTTGTTGTAAGGATTCTTACATTCCTTGTTATTATTATCCGATTAACAAAAAGTTAGGCCAAAGGATTTTCGCATCGCGTACCTTATATATCTCGTTTAGATTGTCATTATTCAGCAATGCAATGATTAACGAACAAGATAGATGCGCATAAGCGGGGCTTCTTTAGATTATACATTTAATTACACCGCTTCAAAGATTATTCATATTGTTTGAATACAGTGGTACGCGCTATGTCCATCATGAAATAAATTTCTGATACCGCAAACGATTAGTTCTTCGGTAAATAATAATAAAATTATTTGTATTAAAAACTAGTATCTTACAAATAAATAATATATTCTACGTAAAGTTCAAATTATAAAAAGAAACGGTAATGTATTCATTGGAAAGATTTAAATATTTTAATACAAATACAAAAATGTTATTTAAGTTTGATAACAAATTAAATTACATTCTAAATAAACTTAAGTAATTAACGAAGATGAATGTCTGTCCGATGAAGAAATGGAAATAATAATAGCGACTACTGTTTTGTGCGTTAAATTGATCAATTCAAATTTGACTGAATTTTGAATTTCTCCAAATTTTTTAATTTTAAACTTAATTTCGAATTTTTGTCAATATTTGTGCTGTAATTTAAAGCGTTTTCAAGTTAAAAATGATACAGGAACACATTAACAAATGTTGCAAATTCGTATACTAAATATGTAAGTTTAACAATTCATTTACCATGAGGTATTGCAGATCGTAGTGAGGTAAAGCTTGAGATACTAAGTTATTGAAAAGTAATAAAGTCATTCGATATACATGACACTCAAAGAGCGTTATATTTCTTCTGGCAGTGTCCATACATATTTTTATCATTTTGGTTAAACTCGCAAGCTAAATATCTTACACTGTATAACATTTCCATCCAACACTCTTACGAAATCTATTCGCACTTTCAAACATTTTGCTGGTGTACAGCATATACCATGTACAAGAAAAATTACATTTATTTCTTCGTTGTGTTCAGGTGAACAAAATTACGACCTCACCAATATTTGCCACAACGAAGCTACTATAATATATATATTCTTCTTCTTTTTTTTTATACGATCCTATATGAACACGCACTTTTTCCTTACGCTAATTAATTAATTAGACAACTAACGCGTTACACACGCCAACTTGTAATTAAATGTCCGGTGTGTGTGTCTAATATCGTATCAAAAGACAAAGTAGCTGTTACTTATGATCCTAATCAAGAATAGTTAACTTCTTCACATTCGTGTGATTATAGTGGTATCTTATTATTAATGTAATCAACTGAAAAAAACAAGAGGTCCCAATGTAATCCACTCTGACACTGTATGTCAGTTATACGATAGAAAAGACTCGTAAGGACCGATTGGTCGGATAAACACAATCTTTCCATAGTTTTCAAGATGAGTTGCAGTACCTCTAACACGATATGTATGTACTAAAAATTACTTTGTTTTTCAATTTGATGGATCAGGAAAGAGACAATGTCGTCTAAAAGTATTAGAGTAAAAACAGACTAAAAGTTTCCGTTGAAAGTAAAGAAGTAATGCAACGCCACTGTTATATCTAATATTCCCTGTCTAATCACCTTGAAATTACATACGATAATTTGAAAATGGTGCATATATCTTTTACAAAAATAGAGATGGACTTTCCCTAAACTATTCGATCGAATGTACATTTAAAACTTAATTATTAATGCATAAAAAAAAACTAATTAAACATTGTGTATCTCTAGTTTCAAAAATGCTTTATTAGTGCGAATTATGAGAAATAATGTTAATGACCATATTTTAAATTTGTGAAATTCATTTCTAGGTCCATCTCTGTGCAACAAGAGTAAAGAGTAATAATCTGAGCAACGTAATGCTGATGTTGTCGTTAAGAATCTTTGGTAAACAAATATTTCAATGTTTACGTGCTAGTGGTCTTACGCTTACAAACAACCCCATTAAAACTTACTTAGATATATTATTTTGTATATAGTAATTGGAATGAGACAATGTCGTCCGTACGTCGAAGTCGGGCAGTCTGGTTTCACCGTGCAAACCGTCAGGACCCAAACAACTAAGGAGAAATCATCTTTTTGGCAGCATAATATACAAGGCAGCAATAACTTTATACAGAATTCCTAAATGTTTGGACATGACGATTTTGTTCCGCAAACTCGATCATTACATGTACTCTCTATGCGTTGAGTAATCGTTCAATGATTTAATTTCAAATTTCATTCAGTTTTATGCACGTGGACAAGATCATATACATACAAGATGATAGAACAGGGACACAGATAGTTTTCCATACTTATTGTGCATTACTTTGACGTCGGTGCAACTTCAAATGCGAAATAAATCGATAATTTCTAGTTTTGCTCGGGACGTAAAATAATGAAATAAATGTGATTTTATTGTTATTAGAACGATACGAAAACATAATAATTCACTCGATCAATAGTTCGGCCTAATAGTTCTCATTTGGAGAACAAGATGTTCTCCATTCTAACGTAAAAAGAGAAAAAATATTCAGTGTGATATTGCAAAACTATTGTTGCCAGGAAAGCTTCTATATTATATAACTGTTCCCAAAGGTTGTCCGCTGCGATGAGTCCAATATTTTCTAAGATGTATACGCACAGTTTCAAATTCAGTCAGGCAAAGTCGTAAGGATCGATAGTTTTGCTAGAACAAGGTTGAACGTCGTCGGGTGGTGGTTGCCATTGTCCAGACCACATGGCTGTACGAGCCATGGTTGTTTCCGCTTTTTCAATGCTGTTAGTGGACGTGCATTCCATCTCCCAGTGGAAACCATTTTGTGTCACTTGCATCGAACTAGATTCATTTATGCCGCAATAGCCCTGTACGTTACCGTAAACTGGCATTTGCGAACTTTTATTCCTAACTTGCATAGAACCACTGCCTCTATGCTCGGCGCCAGGCCAAGGCCTAGATTGCTCCACCGATTGCAGAGGTAATTTTCGCGGTACCCGTCTAGTTTTATTATCGTCCGTAATATGACCACTATCAGTTTTGGTACTTATTAAGTTCCCATCGCCCGTCGAACTAGTATCACCATCTCTTCTTCGCCTTCTTCTTCTCCTTTCAATGTCAACATCGTCCCTTTGATTATCTTCTGTATTCTCCTCGGAAGGTAAAAAATGTTGCCTCGCAGAAGCCCAATGATCTTTCCTATTAACACCTTGTTTATATTTTGCGTGATTATCATTGTCGTGATGACCGTTATTCGTATTTGTATCACTATCCGCATTTTGTTTCTTTGACTGTTGATTTTTCACCACCCACGAAGTAGGCCTCTTAGGGCTACGTTCTTTCAGAGTTACCTGTCATAATGCAAATTGTTAGCAACGATTCCAAATCTATTTATAAGCAATTGAGGATAATTGAAACTACTTACTCCAGAAGAGGAAGAATTATCAACAGGTTTGTAAAGTTGCGTTGGTGTATGATTACGACTATCCGGACTCCTACAACTAGAGCCGCTGCGACCGTGTATCCATGAAAGTAAGAATGCTAAAATAGCACATGACAGACCGAGTGCTGCCGCAGCAGATAACTGAGAACGAGTGCGTTTTGGCACCCAGCCTCCACTGTGGTATTCCCATATAGAGCATGCCAATAACGCACTACTCAAGGCATAAGATAAGCCTATACCAGTGAATACCCAAGCATTCTATAAGAGGTGGATTCTATCAGATACATCAGTCAAGATACGAGATAGCTAATAATACCAATTAAAAAATGTATACGTTTAGTTGTACGGTATTAACATTGCAAAAAAAAATAAAATATATATTATGCATATTATCAGCTACTCACCAATTTAGCCCAATTGAGAGGGAAAACATAGACAACGTGCGAAATATCAAGGAAGAGGAGCAACGCAGTGACCAAAAAACAGAAAACTGCTACAAAGATCATGAAACGCAGCCGTCCGACTAAAGGCAACATAAATAAGCTGACCTTGGCAGTGCCGGAGCTGCATAACGTTGCCAAACACGCTGCAGATGATATCTACGCAAACAATTTACTTTAATATTATTCTAGAGATCGATAAACGACGAATCGTTAACTGCAATGTTACTTACAAGTAGTAAGAGTCTAACAACACCGATAGCTGTTTTAAAGTGTCCCTGTATGTCGCAATAAAGAACCAAGTGGCTTGCTCTTGGCCAAGCCAAAGGATTAGAGGAAGAGCCATGGTGATCGCCATAGTCGTATTGACCATGATAATTAGCATGCGAGTCCCATGAATGGACTGTCGAATGGACCCCTGGTGAATCCAGCTCCAAAGGTTGGGAGCTAATTTGCCCCCCTGTCCTACTGCCTGCTATTAATACAATATCGAACAATGTACACATTCATATCGCTTTAAAACGTTTTCGACAACTGTTATTAGCAACAAATCAAAATCTATTAACTATCATTTACTTTTCATTGTTATCGTACCGATTTCAAAGTCTTGAATATCCTCAGGTCTAGAATACGCAGAGGGTGGTAATTCCAGGTCACGAATCTCCTCTAAGAGAAGCACCTCTATCTCGTCGGCTGCATATAAGTCCGAGACCGAGTGAAGATGATGCCGAGTCTCGTTCATTACTTAGGCACACTCGATTGTTTACTCCTTCCTGCCTGCCGACAATCTTCTCTATTTGCTCCACTATTAACCACCATTCATTACTCATCGAACTTAATAGTTGCTCCATTTGTTTGTTAGCCATTGTGTGCACATACTGTGTGCCATTCTGTTCCTGCAGCCAATACCACCCCTCCACCTTCGCACCACACCTACAGGAATCAATTTAATGTTGTCTAACAACAATACGACGCAAAGAATTGCATACAATTGTAGGTTCTTCGATGCTATGGCATGCGTACATAAGAATAGGGAATAAATGTTTAAATTAAATAAACAAACGAATACAGTTGTAAATAAAATTAATTTATTTTGCATAATAACATAACAACAAAGTGATAAATAAAAGTAAACTTGGTTAAACTAAAAATAAAACTGTTGCTTAAAATAAATAAAAATTATAATTTAACATATTAACGATAACATAAACGCATGAACTTGAGAAATTACAGAAAATATAAATTGGTGCGTATAAATAATCACGAAGTGCATATTTAACCTACTCCATACGTGTATAATATACATTTGTAAATATCAATTGTGTTTTGAGAACGGTGAAAGAATTTTTCCGGTCTAACATAAATTTCGTGATGTATGCCTAGAAACATTCATTCTTAGCTACGCTATTAATTTAAAATAAATATGCGTACACGAATGTATAATAAACTAAATTGGAGTATTATTATAAATATAAATGATAAACGAACTGTAAGTAATTATACACGTAACATATCATTGTTCGATCAGGAAAAAAAATTGAATACAACTGAAGCAAAATTAATGAGAAGATTTTTCACCAAGCTGTCAATTGTACATACGATACCAATTGCATAAAACACACGTGAAAATAAATAAAACCGTAATCCATAGTTACTTATATTTTTTCTGATAAAGTGTCCGTTAATTCTAAATCCACATGTGGTTGCATGTGACATCCGTCGGAATGTACCAAGTGCAACGTTAAACAAAACCACATTTCACAAGGGACCGACCGACACGTACCTCGAATTTCTTTTCGTTGAATAAGACGCGTAGATCACATTTTTCCAAAATTTTTCATAATAAATTCGGTGACCGTCTAAAGAATAGCCGCCATTGCCTTTTTGCTGTTTTTGCTCGTGACTACATTCGTCGCGGCGACCCAGAAACAATAGATGGTACAACTTCTCTGATCTTTGCGACGACGTTCCTCGATTACATCGCTACGAGACTTCTAACAACAACGAGTCCATTCAAAAAGATCACCGCTCGCTAAGCCGCTCATTGAGCGGGTTTTAGTACCAATCGCGCCATCGATGGGAAAACGCCCAACTTTCTAGCGAAAATAATTTCCGACGTTTCTGTAAGATGGCGCCACAGAAACATTTTAATCAATTATTCATATAAATGCATAATTAATATGATTCTTTGCTTTCTAACACTACAATATATAAATTTTAATATTAAATTTATCATTTTCAATGAAAACTTATTTAATCTAGCAATAATTATCAACCCTTTAGTTAGTGGCGCCATTTACCGGTTACAATGGGAACTATTTTCACTACAAACTTAAGCATTTTCCCACCGATGGCGACACTGACAGTAAAACTTGCTCACAGAGTAGCTTAGTGAGCGGTATCTTTAAAATATGCTCTTATACACCTATATCTCAAGCTGAAATGTTTGTTACAACTGATACCAGCAGTTGCATATTTTATTTAAATAACGTATACACAAATATACTGACCATTTCACAGCTGCTGGTACACGTCTGTCCCAACAGCCTAGTATAATTTATATTTTTTCTGTTTAAGTTGAAATGATACGTATATATATATATATATATACAGTGAATACAGTAAATGCATCACCATTGTATCGAAAATCTATTATGAAATTTGAATAACGTCACCTAATCGCTCTAGTAGCGCGATAAGTACCGGAACACTGCAGAACACCGGAAAGCGAAGGCGAAGGGGCAGAACCAGAACGATACGATACTTGTCCGCTTGGTCGCTTCCCCTCACGTGGCACAAATCTGTGTCACCGGGTATAGATACAAGCAGATATATACAAGTTGTTACCTCGACCTCGACCTGTCAAATTGACAGCAAAAGTATGTTTCAGTGTGCTTGCCAATATTAAGATTACAAAATCTCTTTTAATTAATCGCAAAGTGCTAATTATGTGTATTAAAGAAATATGATATTTGTAAGTCACTTGTTCAATCGTAAATCACGTTTAGAAGTCGTTCAAGTTTCTTCTAGCTATAAGCATTAACCCACAACTCAAAGCATTTTAAACCAGCGTCTTCCGCCATGAACACATAGTAAGTGTTTTGATAATTTCTTCAAAATTATCGTTATTCAAAACAAAAAAAATTTATTTCTGCTAAATATTGCGTACAGTTCAAGTAACGCGTGATCGTTTATCGCTTGCGATAGATAACATACCTTCCCACGCACTAACAACTGCGCTACATATGTTATTGTTTTCATTTTTATTTTTTTCATAAATAATGTATGGTATACATGTATATATGAAAGTATTGTAATTTACAGTAACAGAACTGGACCAGGTATATCAGGAAATGCTTTCGATTGTTGGGTACAGAGAACCAATATGCACGACGATTCTGCAATTACAAAGATGCAACATCAGTTCTGGGTTACAAAGCAAGCCTTATCACGAAAGTTAGGGAAAAAGGAAGACGAATGTATAGTAGCATCCGACGCGGAATTGGATGCCAAGCTAGAATTATTCCGTAGCATACAAGAGTCTTGCTCTTACTTACAAAGAGTTATCGACAAATATCAAGAACGATTATGCAGTAAGTTTTAATTATACTCGTATCGACGAGCATAATACAATTTACAGGTAATGACCTATCTAACATTTATTTGCATCGGTAATCTAACTATGCCTCGATTTATCTACACAAGTTTGGTAATCTTGATGCAAGCAGAATATGAAATAAGATTTCATTTAAATAAATAACTAATTTGCAAAATTTTACAGACCTTGCACAGGAAGAAAATGCGATGGGACGGTTCCTTAAAGATGCCGGTAAACAAGACAAAACTAGAGCTGGCAAGATGATGTCGGCAGTTGGGAAGTCGTTATCTTATTCCGGTCAACAAAGACTTGCGCTAAGAGCTCCGCTAGGTCGATTGTACCAGGAAGTAGAAACATTTAGACAGAGAGCAATCGAAGACACATTACAAAATGTTCAAGCGATGGAGAAGGCTCGTACGGAATACAGAGCAGCTTTGTCATGGATGAAGAATGTTTCTCAAGAATTAGATCCCGATACATCGAAACAATTGGAAAGATTTCGCAAAGTTCAAACACGCGTCAGACAGTAAGTACTATTCGTCGTTATTCGTTAACATTGATTTCCATGTATGCCGAAATACTCTTACGTTTGTTACATTTTGATTAACATAGAGGCAAGATAGCATTCGATAACTTGGCCTTGGATTGTCTTCAGAAAGTAGATTTACTAGCAGCAGCAAGATGCAACATGTTCAGTCATGCTCTAGTTTTGTACCAAAGCACACTTTTAAATTTCACCAAAAAATCGGCACAAGCATACTCTACGATAGCGAGCAGTTTCAAAGGCTATCAACGATACGATTTTATGGTTGTAAAAGAACTTGCCGAACCTTCGAGTAAATTGGCTCAAGAAACTGGAGGTGACGATGATCCTGACGATAAAGACAAGTGAGTCGAAAGTTGGATAAAGTATTAATAATGAAAACGTTACTCTACCAATACAATGTTCTCCATTACAGATTACCGTTTTTTGACATGGATTATCACGATAGCGTAGAAGAAGCCGAAGAAGTAAAGCCTACTACGCACAGCTCGTTTGAAACGAACGAACAAGATGAAAAATTATTGGATATCGAATGCGACACAAAGAATATGCTGGATTTGGAAGATTTAGATATTAATTCCAGTTCTTCAAAAAATGGAATCATTCCGCCCACTTCTAATATAGAACACAAAGAAGATCTCAATCAACTTTTTGACAATCTAGTTTTAGATAATAATGTGTCTCCTAACAGAGAACAATCGATACATACAAATTTTGAACAAACTCTGGGAATGGATATATTTAACAAATCTGATACGAATTTTAATTTGAGGAAACTGCCTTCCTTAGAAGTACAAGATCAAGGCGAACAATCTCTGCAATCCCTTACGTCTGAAAATATAGCTCTTTTAAATGACATTCTCAGCGATAAACAAAGCTTTGGTAACGAATGGGAGGTATTATCCACCGACACTTTTTTACCACCAAATATCTTAAAACAAAGCTTAGGTGATGCAACGCTTGGTGTTGGACAAAAAAGCATACCTACTACTAATATAGATGACAAAGTAAGTAAAAATCAATAATATTTATTAATCGCTACGCATTAATTCGTAATTGTTTTCGTTATAATCGTATCACTTAGAAGAACAAGGTTTTATAAAAACTAATTGCTCAAGCAACCATATTACTAAAGAATTTTGTATTGCTTCTTTCCTTAGAAAACAAGTAAGACTGGGAAACAAAAGGGTAATTCCTGGTTGGACTTATTCGCTGAATTGGATCCATTAGCTAACAACCCAATGGAGAAACTTTCCAGCGATAGCAATGTATCTGCTTAATTTTTTAAAGCGCTTACATAATATTACCATGATACGTGATTAGTTGCAATTTATGGCAACAATCAGAAGAGACGAAGAGTTTATTTTTATCAAACAGGATAATGTTCACAGTATTATCCAATCCGTACATTTACATTGATATTTCGTATTTATTATTTGAAACATAACATTCCGAGTTTGTTAGACTTAATTAATGAAACTAGTAAGAAAATGATAAGAATCAAAAATATTTAAATTACGCAAGTATCTTTTCAAACTCCATACCAAAGATGTGAAATTTGATAGTTTGTAAACGTGTGCTAGTCAAATACTTCTTTTAAATACATTAAAAATTAAAACCATTATTTCATGATAATAAATAGAGTTATCAACTTTCCTACACTTGCATTTATAATAAAATATGCTCACCAAAGTTTAAGTATATCATACAAATATTTGTAATTTGTTATTACATCACTTAAAACTTTTTCAAACAATTTTTTTAATATCATTACAAACAATTCATGTTTAGAAAATTTACGAAACAATTATTACGCACTGCATATCATTTTTCACTTTTTTTTTTTAAATATACAGAAATATTGCATACCGCTTTCTCTTTTAAATAAAATAAATATAACATAAAACAGATTAGATCATTGAGACATCGTTTTTGTATCTTTCCTATATAAATATAAAACGCTTATGCATTAACAAAGTACAGGATCACAGTGTTAACACCAAAATATAATTGTATTTCAAGTATAAAAGAATTCTAAATCAAAACCTAATTTGCATCGGTAACATGTTTAAATTTAGGCATCGTAAAATTGTGCCATGGCAGTTCTCACCCTGAAAAAAGAATAATAAATATATGTTAAAAAATGTTTACATGCGATTACAACATTAATATGTTGTAACACAAAGAATAATTTTTAACGACAAATTGAATTAGTTTAAAAAATTATTTAGCATACTTATCGAATAATTGAAGGTCCTTGCTATGACGTAATTGTTGTAGAATACGATAAAAGCCTAATTCTCTTAAACGTGTTTGCCGCTGCGCAGCTCCAGGTTCCTCTCTCCAGACTAGGTTGCACACACAAAAAACTGCCGCGACTTGCAGCTTTACGTTATTATGCATCTGAGATAATATAAAAATAATAAATGAATGCTGTTGAATTGTAATCGATACGTTATAGAAAAAATATAAAGAAAGAGAAGTATTTCTACGAACCATGTAATCCATAAGCTTTTTAAGCACATCTTCGTTAGCCATAATATGATCTTTCGCTCGATTGCCATCGGCTACATTTGCTAAAATACATAGAGCTTGTTCCTTCACGTCGGCTGGATGTCTTGGATCTTCCAAAACCAATATTACAGCTTGCATAACGTGTGCAGCGTGTTCGCCCATTATGCGATCAATGTGCGCTTTAGTAGAAAGCAAATTTCGTAATAAACCCAATGTCTTCATTAAGACTGGTATATCTTGATCAGCCAAGAGACAAAAGATTTGATCGGTTCCCAAACACGATAGAATCTGTAACTTCACTTGTTGTTCAGCTTGAAAAGCGACGTTCATCAAAGCCCAGATTCCGTTTAAACGTAACGCTGGCGTACATCGTTTTGTAAGCGAGCACAACAACTCTATTCCACCGGATTCAAGAATTGGTTCTTTGCTTGGACTAAATTCCAATAATAAGTTACATAAAGTACTCGAGGCAACAGTTAATAAATCAACTTCGCTTTCGCCTCTACCTACATGATATAATGACATTAATAACAGTAAACATTTCTAACAAAATTTTATTAATTACTAACGATCTTTGGGATGTATAGTTATTTATTTTCCGTTTAAAAATTATTTGTCTCACGTTTCGAAAGAGTATAAAAGTATAGTAAGAGAATTTCAGTACAAAGAAATTTTTTAGTTAGACACGAGTGATAAAAATAGTATCATATTTTACCCTCCAATCCTTTATCTGCTCCATGCAACAACTGCATAAGCGGCCTCCAAACCGCATGATCTTGAAAAGTCGTTCGGAGTTGTTGAACGCTTCTAGAAAGTGAATGTAGACATCTAACTGCTGCGAGACGTACATGAGAGCCTCCAGGATCCTGAAGACCCGACACTACCTGCTCCATAAGACTTTTTGTCTCGATAATACGTTTCCGTATATCTTCATCATTGGCACCGAGAGATGCAAATGCTCTAAATGCAGCTTGTCGCATATCTTGTGATAGAGTTGCATCTTGTACCTGAACACATTAACAACGTTAAACGTACAAAACGAATACATTAAGATTGTATTGGACTTACAGGTGGATGAGGTCGTAATAATTCTGCCAGTGTAGGAATTAAATGATTACTAATAGAAGCTAGACGTTGTAATTCGGTATTAACTTCGGTAAGAAAAGCCAACGTTTCAGCTGCAGCCACTCTTTCGCAAGGCGGACGATCTCTGTGACAGAGCCTCACCAAACAAGGTAATGCACGGTATGTAATTCTTGGATCTTTATATATTAGAACTCCAGTTCTATGCATATACGTAACGCATCTTGCAGCTTCGAGTTGAATTAAGGAGCTCTTTTCACGACCCATCAGTTGCCCTAATGCTACAGGTACAAGTCTACCCTGCAACGAGTTACTCGTGGTCGCTGAAGCTACCATAACACATACCCTGTAATTTTTGTAACACATATTCGCTAAACAAGCCAAAGCTGATAATTGCACGTCAGGTAACGGAGAATCCAATTGCATTGCTAACGTTTCCACCGCACCCCCCTTGGATAACGCATTCTGCTCTTCCGTTGTCTACCGAAAACGATACGAATCAATATTATAAATTATCGTGCGATTCGATGATTACATTTAATTCCACTGTCTCTTTACCTTGCATGCCGTTGTTAGAATTCTTGCCACGCAGATTTGACAAGTCACAGATCGATTGGCTAATGACACCAACCTCGGCACCAATGCAGGATCTTGATATATCGAATGAACAGGAGCTGCTGGGTGTTGAAATACTGTACGTAAACAACGTAAGCATGCCTCATTTAACAAATCTGATACTTTTGGTTTTCCTTCTGAATGCGCATCTGAGATAGGTGTGGATAATAAAACCTGAAAAAGTAATGGCACTACGCCAAGATCTATGAGTGCCAGTACATGTTGATCTGTTCCTTTGGCCAAAGAACCCAAAGTCACGGCAGACTCAAGTCTTATGCGATCTCCAATTGTGCCAGATGAATCCCCGAGAAGCTGCAACAAGCGCGGTACCACGCCTTGAGCTATTACAGAACCCTTCTGTCTGTTACTTCCAATGACTGAATTCTTCAGGCAACTGAGAAATACGAAGAATCGAAAATCAGAGATGACATATATAACATTCAAAGTATATTAATCGATAGAGAAAACCAGAGAAAATTGATAAATATCGAACTTAACCCGATAATATTCCCTTGTTAATGTTTTTGTTATGCTATACCTTGCAATGGTTCGAATAAATAATAACTTTTAACGGATAAATTTAAAGGTTAGGTTCAATTTCTACTCACATAATAGCTTCTAAGCATTTTTGGGGATCTGGCGAATACAGTTCATCGATGTAACTTCTCGAGCTCTCCACATCCTGTCATATAATCAGACAGTCATTTATCCCTTCGAATTTTACGATGGGAACAGAAAAAATGAGTCTTGATTGTCAAAAGCAGAAGGAAACCGGTAATGCGTATACCTTCTCAATGTAGTCGACTTACCATGAATGGCTGCATCACCGAGACCATGCTTCTTCCCTTTCGTTTTTACATAAAGATATTACAACATTCACTCACAAAAATCTTGAATTAATTCAACCGATAACCACGAGGAATCGTGAAACCGAGTTTGTTTGTTACGTGAACGCTCACCGCTCACCGTTTCATTTGCCAGAAATTGGGTTCTCAAATAAATTTTTACCAAGTTTAGTGTTGCCACTACCCATACAATTATCCTACTGCAATATCTAGTAAAATATTCACTTTTACAATTCTTTTTAAGCAAATATCGATGCATAAGTAAAATATTACGAATTTATGAATTTCTACTTATCGTAAAATAGATTGTCCACTTTCAACTGATATTTGCAAAATTGTACATTTTTTCTACAAGTAGGCTATAGTGACCTTCGTGTAGCTATTGGTAATATCTGGATCCTTCGACCATAAATACTTGAAAAGTGATTTGAATTGCATGTTGAGGAAATTTTCTGTTTTCAGGTTGAACAAGAAATTCGCAAGAGAATCATTAGACGAATAAGAAACATGTATTTATGAATTTTCCCCTAAATTTTTTATTTTATTGGCGATAGATGCAAACATCCACGTGTACACCAAGTAAACATCAAACGGTACGACGAAAACGGCTTTTTACAATGATAGTCTGGAATCCGGAACGTTTCGTGATATATAATCTTTGCATGGTTCCATAGAGGAAGGTGTGTTAAAAATATTCTCCTTATTATTACTTGGATTGTGGGATTTTGTTGAATTTGAAAGATACCAGTCACCATCTAACGGAAAGAGTGCCAACTAATTTAACTACAAACTTGGGCGTTTTTCCATCGATGGCGCCACCATTACTTTCAATCAATTACACATTATATCTCATAAAATTATCACTCCTTGCCTTATAACACTGCAATATATTAGTTTACATGTTAAACTTATCATCTTTATGAATAGTTATTTAATTCAACAATATTTATCGACACTTTAGTTGATGGCGCCATCTAGCGGGAAGAGTGTAAACTATTTTCGCTACAAACTTGGGCGTTTTCCTATCGATGCCACCACTAGTACTAATAACAAAAGAGTATTTGTTTGATGTCGAGGACTGAAGAGGGTGGATAACCTCAATGAACATCAATTCTGCGATTCTCTGAAGATACTTGTGTCTATTAAAAGTTCTAACAAATATGATTATGGATTCGCTAGACGAATATTTGGAAACTGTGGCTGGTTATATATTCGATAACGATAAACTGGTGAGTACTTTGAATATATACTTTATTTGACAAAGTGTATTCTTATTCCTTAACCCTTCAGCTGGCGCGTATGTGTAAAAGAATCATACCGTATTTAAAAAATATACAATGCGCCTGTAGGGTGGTTAAATATCAAATTTGTTATATGTCGATATTCTTTAATTGTTCAACAAAAAAAAAGTGTTTGTATAATGGTCAAGTATTTAAAATAACTTTAGGTTACATATAAATGGTTGAGCAAAGAATTGGAAGTTCACGTTAATATTGCAAAGCAGATTTTATGGGCATTCTGGCAAAGATATAAAGAAGAGAAAAGTTTTGAATGCTCTTTCTTGTTGATGGGTGTTTTGCACGACAGTGGTATGCGTGTTGAAGTTTTAAAGGAGAAAGATTTATCGAGAGGAAAAGAAAAGTTTGCCAAAATTGTATCTGAACACGTTTATAGTCTACAAAAAGTACTTCCTGAGGTACAGATACTTGGACTTGCAGAAAATGGAAGTATCAAACACAGTGCAATCAAGTGTTTGGAATATAACGTGCGTAATGACAAGGAAATGCATATGCTACGTTGGGGTGCTGTATCAACAGAAGTACAGCTTATTACACAAGAAAAAGTAGAGTCGCCACCTAAACCTACCAATGAAGCAATACAGAAAAGTCCAGAAAAGAAATCAGTTGGTACAAAGAAAAGTACTCAGAAAAAAGGTTTCGATAATCTGTTTGGAAAAACTGGCAATAAGCAAAAAAGTCCCTCATCCACATCATCTAGTACAGAAAAAATGGAAGAGAATGCTTCTAGCCAAATAAAACTAAAATCATCTAAGGCAACTATGCTTGAATCACCGAAAAAGCTTGCAAAGAAAGGTGGACTTGATGTCTTTTTACAGCAAGGTAAAAATTCAGGAAAAGTTACAAATCCTGTACCTTTGGAAATAAAGGAAAGTACAAATTCCACGACAAACGAAAACACTGAGAAGAAAATTACCCTTGAAAATAACAATAAGCAAAAGAAAAATAAATTTAATACGCGTGGAAAGAAACGCAATCGAAGCAAAGAAGTTACCGCTGGTGTAAAGAAACGGAAGCGCATTACGATAGAGAGCGATTCCAGCGATACCGAATTGTCAGATGAAGAACAAGAAGAGGGAGAAGAACTGCCCTCAGCTGAAAAAATTTCTCCTGTAAAGGCATGTTCTCCTTCTCCACCAAAAATCAAACTTGAAGGTGGAAAACGCAAGGTCTTAAAGTTGGTAGATAAAACATTTGAAGAGGATGGATATTTTGTAACAAAAAAAGTACATGTTTACGAAAGTTGTTCCGAAGATGAACCAGAAGTTACAGAAGCAAAGAAGTCTGTTGCACCCGAGTTGCATCCAGAAAAAAAAGGGAAGAAGACTAACACTAAACAAACGAATTTAATGAACTATTTTAGAAAATCATAGCATACTTTATTATCATTTATAACTCATAGAATATAATTATTGCGACATGTTGTAGTATTGGTATATCAGTGTACAAACTATGAATAAAAGTTCGCTTTATGAAAATTAAATGTAAATAGCTCGTATACAGTCATCTTAAGATTGATATTATTAAGATAATTCCAGGTATAAATTAGATACCATGAAATAGATACAGAATCACTAACTAAACACAATTATCAGATATGTTATCATAAGAAAAGCCAAACTCGTGTTACATCCTGCAGGGTATGAGTAATAATTATACCGTGATTCTCAAACGGTAAAGTACGTTTGACATGTATTAAGTTGTAATTATTTAATATAATGTTTATTTACTTGCGTTTAACTGTATTCTGCTTCTTATGCACAATATCTAGTTCTTTATGTGATATATGTGTCACATGCTCATGTTCAACTACATGTAAGTAATTTTTATAAATCAAATTTAACTCTTCAAACGAAGTTTTCATAAAAACTATTTCTCAGTTGTATACGTAAATATTCATACGATTATATTTAGAAATGCAACTATAACTGCATGAAATATTACATATTAATAAATCAATTTTACACATTGCAGTAGATGGATTGCCAATAATTGATTGTCACGAAAGAGATTTGGAAAGAAATGATATGCTTATTTCGGAACTGTTAATGTTAGATGAAAATAAAGTGAACAACAAACTTATATTGTCCAAGAACCAAATAATCAACTTATCTCCTCATTTATTGAAAAAATTGAGACTTTTAAAGAGCATTGATTTATCTGAAAATTTTATGAAACAAATATACATAATATTATATACAAACTTGAATAGTCTTGAAGATTTAAATCTTTCTAAAAATGCAATAACAACATTTGATGACTTGTTACTCAGAGAAGTTCCTTCATTGCTAACATTAAATTTGAGTTATAATCAGATTGACACAATACAGCATACAATAGGCGAAACTATAACCAACATTAACTCCTTAGATCTTTCGCATAATAATATATCCAATTTTCCTAACAAGTTTTTTGATTCGTTAACAAATTTACAGTATCTGGACCTTTCATTTAACAGAATCAATTCCTTAGAAGAGTATGGTTTAACGCATCTGAATTCTCTGAAAACAGTTTACATAAACAACAATTTTCTTACTTTCTTACATATGAAAATGTTTCCAAAGTCTTTACTCAACCTGTACTCTGGATATAATCTAATAACAGAAATATTTTATGAACCATCTGAAATCGAAGTACTGAACATAGAGTATAATCGACTCTTTAAAATACGCTCAAATGCGATAGCATTGAAACATTTAAAACACTTAAATGTTAGTGGAAACATATTATCAGACTTTCCAAACATTTTATGTGAGAATTTGAAAACTTTAGATATATCTTGTAATAACTTATCCTCTATTCCCGAAACATTGTCCACTGCAAATTTTCCATTGTTGGCTACACTTAATGTTAGTAAAAATCCTATTCGAAACTTAATGTTTCGCTCTGAATTAAACTTACAATTATTTGTTGCATCTAATATAAGTATATTGGAAACTATCGATAAAGCTACATTTGCAAAATTAAGAGCACCAGCAAAGGAGTGTATCAATCTTATTATATCTAATAATAAAGGTTTATCTTTAATTCATGAAGAAGCTTTCAAACACATGAATTTATGTTCTGTAAGTTTCATTATTTCATTTCAAAGTATTACCTTTGAACGAATAAGTAATAATTTTGTTATTATCAGTTGGATATAAGCAATAATCAAATTGCCTATATCGCACAAAAATTAGTTCCATGTAATACTAATTCCGTAACGTGCAATGTTAATTTGCAAGGAAATCCGCTTAAATGTAATTGTTCTTTACAATGGATACTGGATGACATGATGCCAAAACTTTATCATACGCAACTTAATCTTTTAGATAATTTGAGGTATATATCTAAATAGATAATTATTAAAATTTTATTTGTTATTCTATTTTAAAGTACGATAAAAATGTACTATTTATTTTAATGTATTTTATTATGCCCTGTCAGGTGTGCTTGGCCTCCGCAACTATCAAAGACGAGAATGTTGCATTGGTATGGATGGAAAGATCGAGTTTTTTGTACTAAAATGTCAGATTTTAGTGAAAAGATGAAGGTTGATGCTACAATAAGTCAAAATGGAGTGATAACATTCAATTCTACTCCTGGTTTTCTTGTAGTTTTAGGAGTAGCTATAGTTGTATTCTCAATTCTAATAATAGTAGGTATCATTTGGACACAAAAGTTACATATAAAAAGGAGAAGAGTCAATAGAAAATTTTGAAATTTACCATTTTTTGTTGTATACATTTATTTATCTTTAATTTAGTTATTTATACTTTAAAACAGTTTGAGTTTAAATATTACTGAATAAATTAGAAGAAAATAAAAGATTCTTACATTTAATACGCAATATGTCTATAAATATGTACACGTACGCATGTATACTGTAGCTTTACGAAAAATTAAAAGAATTACAGACACACGCATGTAAATACATATAGTCTTAAATTCACATATATAAATACAACAGTACTCGTGTAATTATGTATATTTTGAAATATAAAAAAACAGCCGATTTTCGATGCAAATAGTTAAATTAAGACTATACGAACATTCTGTTGACATCGATTTGTTATCAATGAAGTACTCTCTATATTGGAAGGACTTGAGTTTTCATTCGCTTATTTGCGAATTTTAGACGAGCTCGATATTTTACTAAATCTGAATTCTAATAGTTCATTGATTTTCAAATAGATGTCATTCTAAATATCGCTACCCTTATATTCATCTTATTAAGATATTTATATAAAAATCTGATCCCCGTTAACTAATTAAATTAACGATTACTATAAAAATTGCTGATGTATTCAATTACGGTAAACTACGTCGACCCGATATTGAACAATATATATAAAATGAACTTTATACTTAGCAATTATATATCGTCTATTTGCCAGTGACTACACGTCACTCGAGCAGGTGGGTTTTCTCTCAATTCGTTCAAGAAAGTACATATATTTTGATAATATCCTGGTTGACGCCATGTCTCGTTGTGGGTACCTCCCGTGATTGGAAGAATTTTCTTACACGAACTCTTACAATTTTTATAAAGATCTTGCATCATACGTGGCGGTACTAATGTATCCGCCAGTCCGGAAATAAATAACGTAGGTACTGTTACCGACTGCACTTTGAGAATGGACAAATACTATAAACGTAAAAAAATATACCTTTCTTTAGGTGCTACATACAATGTAACTTACTTAAATTTTTATTCCATTGTATAAATCATAATTATTGTAAGAATAATACTGCACCTTATTTTTATATAGAAAAAGTGGCAGGTATTGTAAAAATTTTACTCCGAAAAGAAATGCAGCCATATCAGGAATACTGGTGAAGGTATTCTCAAGGATAAGACACCAAATCTTGTTATAGTTCTCTGGTTTTGTGGCCAAATTGATAGCTACCGCTCCACCTACAAAGAAAGAAATAATTTATATAACATACTCTATAGATAAAATAAATTCTTCGATAGAAATAATTTGCTAGAATATACTACCTAATGACCTTCCATATACAATAATTTCATTGGTATTTATATCGGTTCTATTACGTAAATAATCAATTCCTGCGCAAGCATCCATGTATAATCCTTCTTCAGATGGCGAACCTTGCGATAATCCGTATCCTCTGTACTCCAACATTAAAATATTACACTGGACATTATGATAAAATTCAGCGACATTTGGAAGTCTAAAATGATCCTAGAATTTTTATCTTAAATTTCAAAATAAAATTACATAATAAAAGTGTCACAAAATACTAACCTGTGTCCTATATTACCAGCATTGCCATGAAGATACAATAAGGTAGGCACCTTTCTTGCTCTATCCTCTGGTTGAGGAATAAAGAACATGTGTAACAATGTACCATCTCCCGATCCTGTGTATATACTTTGATAAGGTAAATTAAATATCGACGGTGCAGGAACATATACCCGTGAACTAGTTGGCCATTCTGGACGATACACAAGCCGGTCTTCTTTATGATACAATATACCTGTACAAAAAATAAGATATTAGTTGATAATAAGAAGATATAGAACTAAAACTAATAGCCATGTAACAGACATTAAAGTTATACAATTGAACTTTTCAAGATGAATAAATTTACCTGTAGTAGCGAAACAAAGAAGAAAGAAAGCAGAGATTCCACCGTACAACCAGTACAGAAAAAAACAGGCAAGTATGTAAGTTCCACAAAAAGCCCAACATTTCATAGCTATACTTTTCAATATACGGATGGGTTTACTGCGGGCAAGTCGCACGCATAACGACATGATCGCTTTGTAGTGCTTCCAAATAATTGACTAACGATCATGTGACGCGCTTTTGCATTCACGTACTGTTACGCATTATAATTTGATCATAATTCATAATATTCCGTTGATTCAAGTATTCCAGTCATTGTTAGAAATCTCATAACCTAAAATTCATTTAACGAGCATGATACACTGTCCAAGTTTGAATTTCATTTGAACTGGTAAATAAATAAATGTCTCGTTTCACGAGTAAATTTATTAAAGCGGAGTTCGTTTAACGAGAATAAGATCACTGTAATTTTAAAGGAAGCATCGGGGAAGCATCGGTTAGAAATTGATATCGTTTTTGTCTGGACATAGGTTATATCAATAAAGTGTGTTATCGTTTGGTTGAGTACGAACTACAAATTTTTTTTCGCATCAATGATATACTCTATATTACGATTTCGTGTTGCTTAAAAATATGTTTTTATATCAAACAGATTAAAAACGCGATCATAGTAACGCTCGGAAGATAGTTATCGTGTGAGTCGTGAGTTTATCACGTGTCATCTGAATGTCCAATGCTGTATTCTGATTACTGTTAACTGATGCTATATAACTAATACTACCTTGCATCTTTACACTCAGCAGTTAGTTCGTTAGTTCTACTCTTTGTATCGGGTTCCTTTCCTCGTTTATGTATAGTTATAAATTCAAATTTTGTCTAGAAACTGCTCGCAAACAATGGAGAAAATATTAATCGAGCCCAAAGACGGACTTGTGGTGTCATGTTTGTCTAACCTTCTCGAAACGAGTGCCGAAAAGGCACTTGCAGGTGGTGATACGTTCAAAGTTGGATTATCAGGTGACATATCTCGACTAACTGTCCACTTCATTTATCCTTTTCAAAACAATACAAAAATTATGATCGATCGTCGATCCCATATATCAACATATTTTACGCCGATCAGGTATATTTTAAACAAAAATTAACGATACCACGTCCGTTTCAAATGTGTTAACTTATAGGTTATAAATGAATCAAGAAATTGTATACATATATAATCAACACGTTTTATCTTTATCGTAAATTAAGTGTTCCCTACTTCTAAACTGCAATACTTGCTTTTCAGACATTGATTATTCATTATTCGTAAATTATAACTATTATACGAGAGTGGTCCATATACGTTTTTTATTTATTTATTTATTTATTTATTTATTTATTTATTTATTTTTTTAAATGAAAATTTACATACACGTAACGACAACAAATCTATTAACCTATCGAATAAAAAAAATATCTATTTCCATCAGGGGGGTCTCTTGTAAAATTATTGGCACAGAGTTTACCTAACATTACAACCGATTGGAGCAAATGGTACTTCTTTTTCTGTGACGAGAGAATTGTCCCTTTTGACACTGCTGACTCAACTTATGGAGAATACAAAGCAAAGTTGATCGGGAAAATTCCAGTCACCGATGATCAGTTTATAAAGATTAATCCTGATTTATCTGGTAAAATAATAATGCTTTTATATCCATCTCCCCTTTCTTTGAAAGACTCATTTTTGTAACAATATCGACTATCCTACTTATAGCTGAAGAGGCTGCAAAAGATTACATTAAGAAGATGTCTGTGTTCTTTCCTCCCGATCGTGTCCCATGTTTCGATGTGCTTCTGTTGGGACTGGGTCCAGATGGACACACATGTTCGCTCTTTCCTGGTCATAAAGTTTTAAATGAAACTAGTTTATGGGTCTGCCCTATTAATGATTCTCCTAAACCGCCTCCATCTCGTATTACTCTTACTCTTCCTGTGATAAATAATGCAAAAAAATGTGTATTTGCCATTACTGGATCTGGCAAGGCTGAAATGGTTAAGGTGATTATTTTATTGTAGTTCGAGCGAGTAATTTTGAAATTATATTTATACAAAATTTGTATTTTCATTGTTGCTATTTAATATCTCACAGAAAATCTTGCAAGATAGAGAAAATTTACCAGCCGCTCGTGTACAACCACACAATGGGGAATTATATTGGATCCTAGATGAAGATGCTGCAAAACTTTTAGACACGGCCTAAACAAATTTGATAAAATCAATTACGACATTCCACGTTAATATCATGTTTCGATTCTCGGCAAATTTCTGGAACTCACTATTTTGTATACATATGTGCATCTTACTTAAAATGATATTTAATAGATTAACAAATAACGAAACAATTTCTGACAATTTATTGCTCAAAGGTGATATTTCTTTATTTTAATGTTAGATATTATTCAATGTATAATAGGTTGTGCTCTCATGCATTTTAATAGAATGATTTTCTGATACTTTATATTTTTGTTTATATTTGTATGTGCCGAATAGATACGATACAGTAAGACTTTTTGTATTACTTCAGTAATTTGTCGTCACCGTAAAAGTGTGCAATTTAACTTCGATAATTAAATTATTTTGAATAAATTTGAGAAATAATGTAAACCAAAACTAGCAAACATTATTCGTGAATTTACTAATTCACACGAGAACAATTATCTTTGATAATAAAATAAAAATGTATTATGTTCCTAAAGAATGTACAGGTATCTAGAATACAATCATTCTTTACAAATTCCATAATCCGTTCGTTTTATTCGAAATATACAATTGTAGCGATATTTATTTTTATTTAACCATACAAAAATATAGAATACAAAAGATGAAGGATATTTTTGAATACTACATTCATACTCTATTTTGTAACAACTTTTTAAGCGGAACTAAATATGACGAAGTTGATTTTAATGAGAAGAAACATTAAAAATTAAATAAATAATAAAGTATATGTAATTTTGTAGCACTTTTGTAATTTCCCTAAAATATAAATATGTATAATCGATAAAATAATTGTTCGTATAGTCGTTATACATTAAAGACTGTAGAGTAAAGAAATTTATGTATGTACATAAGCAACTTTATTTTTAGTATTTTTATTATAGTATCAATAGTATAATATATAAAAACACGTCCTTTCAATAATAAAGTCTCTATTTAATACTGTATTCAAATAGATGTACCATGAAATTCCGAAACTAGCAAAACATTAACATAAAATTACTAGATAAGTCATTTATTTGTAAGAATAAATATCATAGTCATCATTTGTATACAGGAGTAGATATATCAAGAATAATATAATAAACAATCATATATTTGTTTGGCAGATCGTAAAAGATATTCTTTGGTGACTTACATAAAACTGATAAATATATATGTAAGATAAATAGGTATACAGCAAAAAGTGACTATTTTTATATGATGTACATGTTGTGTATATTCTTAAATGGAATTAATATTATAAATATATAGTTTGAGGCAGGAATATCGTTTGTAACATGTAGGTACTTAACACGTAATATCTGCCACCAGTCAGATTCAATAACCCGTATAAACTACTTAGGAACCAAATTTTTTAGAGTAATTTATAAATTATATATTTATTTTTTTACAAAAATCTTACGTGTACATGAATATCGGGCCATAAAAAGAACTAAAAAATTTTACCGATTCGTATCGCGCTTTGAACAAAATTATATGTTACTTTCATTAGAACTGTATAACGCTATAAAATGTTTTAATTTCTCGTGTCGCATTAAAATAGTCTTTTAGAGTTTCTTTCAATTTATCAGAATTATTTACAGAACTTATTCTGAAAACATCGTGACTGCCGTATAACTTAAAACTAATCAAATGTTCATTGAATTATCATCTTTTCCTGTACAACGTATCTAAACATTCTAAACGGTAAATGCTATCATAACCTCCAAAAATGGTTTCGTAATTTTGCATTTGACTGCTTCGCTATATCATACCTTTCCTATATAAAAAGTGATGGAGAAAATGATAAAGTACCTTTTATTTGAAAACGTATGCACGAATAGTAGCTTACGTTCGTTATGTTCATTACGTTCAAAGTACATTATGAAATTATTGTTTCTTCATCTTCATTGTTTGTTACTCATAATTATTTTCACAATTATTTTGAAGAGAGAATTGAACAAACACGGATACGATACTATCTCGCGATGCACTTTCATAAAGCGTAACTGTACATATTTAAAATATACACGATATCCACAACTTGTTCACAAAATTCATTAGCTAGGGAATGAATTAGGTTGGAACAAACGTGACAAGTAACGCGTAATATCGAGGGTACAGTAACCCGTTTACGAAGCAAGTTGTAACATACAAACTATAAAAAAGATTGGTGAAACGTGCAGTTTTTATGCGATTCACAGCATAAAATTTCGGTAACGAAGAATCGACTACCGAAATATTATTCATAAAATCACATTTTCAATTTAGCTTATAACCATACATATCACAGTATCAATATAATCCAATCACCCTCCCCCCTCTATTTTCACAATTTGTAACATTATCTACTATATGCTGAAGGAATATCTTCGTTTACATTTTGATAAAATTACGTCTCGTGTATATAGTACTTGATTTTGTTTAGAATACCTTGCGAATTGTATGAAAACCTTTGTCCTAATATTACACCAACCAAATGTGTTCCTCTATTCTTTCCTCCCATTAAAAAAAAGAAAAAAAGAAAGAAAGAAAAAATTAAAATGAAATCATAAATCATAATACTTTTTTTCTAAAGATCTTTGTACTATCGTTTCTATTTTGAAATTAAGGATCTACACTGTCATTTTGCTTCATGGAAGGAAAATATGAATGTAAGTAATAACAGTGAATAGAATTAAATCGTCAATGCGATGTATCGAACGTATACACAAAGTGTACATATGAGTTCATTAGAATGTAATTTAAATTCCCTATGCTGGCCGTTTTATTACACTTAGCTTTTTACTTAAAATCTTTCACAAATGTATTGTTAGTAGCGTACGCCAATAGCACGGTACATCCGAAAAATAGAATGGCAAATGCTTAAATAATCGAGAAAGCCTCAAGTTAATAATAAATAAGCGGCGTTACGTTCAATTATACTAGCCGATGATCGCCTGGCTCGTACATCTTAAAATGTAGTTAAAGAATAATTTAGTTAAATTAATATCACCTAACATAAATATTCATCACGTCATATTGACACCCAACAGTCCCCTGACATTCTCATACACTATGTAGCTAATCGATACAGCTGGAGCCACCTACAAGATAATACAGTTTATATATTTGTAATTAAACGGTACTTAAAATAAGATGCTTTTTAACGAATTTTGTCATACCTTTAAGAAATTTGGCGTTATGCCTCTATATAAACCACGAACTCCTTCTTTCCTAATAATTTCTTTAAAAACACCAACCATGGTATTAGGAAATTTATCGGACGATATATCTGCTTGCAACCGTGTCCTGACTAGAGCTAGCGGATATGAACACACTTGACCTGCTGTACTGGAAGTTGTCCCGCATAATAATAATATCCAAAATGGGGGTTGTTCGTTCTTGTCGTGTGTTCTTAAATACCTATTCTTCAATGTCTGCAATAAAAATGATGGTATAAACACTTTACTAATTTACTTTTATTTATTACACATTTACTAATTTATTATCGGCTTGAAATATTTACTTCGTATACAGCCAGGTCGATACCGGCGTACGGAATTATTCCCATTAAATTAGGGACATAACCTCTGTAGAAGGACTTCAAACCTCCTTGACGGTATATTTTTTTTGTCGCGTCGACCAGTCCTGCAAATTCTCCTGTTTTTCTAAGCGCGAACCTAGTTTTGAGTACCTGAAACACATCCGTAACGTCTACATTGAATACAAACGTATCGATACGCTATCACTCGCTTTTGTTTCATACCTCGAGTGGGTATATGGCGGACTGACTGATTCCTCCTGCTAAAGATCCTGCCATTAATCGTTCGTAAAGACCAAGCTCTCTGACATCGTCTCCTTTGATTGCTTTTTTAATCTGTTCGTAGGCCATGAATTTCAGTGCGCTCTCTGGTCCAATTTTAAGTACGTTTATACCATTCCCTCTCCACAAACTAGTCATTCCACCCTCGCGAAGCATATACCCGATGCAACTCAAGATTTTGCAGTGTCGCGTTCCATGAACCTGAAAAGTATGTTTCCATCAATTTCAGAGATCTAAAATGTACTCGATGACAACATTTATAATTATCATTTTGCAAGCCCACCTGTAGGTAGACTTTAACTCGATCCAAAGGCGCGGTACACGTCCGCGAAACAGCACCCGCTACTCCACCAGACACCAAATGTCGCCACCACATTCCAGAGACCATTTCACTAGTTGTAAAATCTTCAGGGACACCGATGTCTTCCCCAATGTCCATATACTGAAACAAACAAATCATTTATTAAATACTTTTACTCTATACAGACACTTTCCTATTTCACACACCGCGTGACGAATTTAAACGCGCGCCTACCGAATAAGCACCACCGCCTTGCATATGAAGACAAATCATGGCGCGAAAAATATGATTTTCCTTCCATAAATTGTACATGATTAAACAACCAATGAATAATCTTCTACACGTGACATAAGTTTCACATCTAACCGTTACTCGCGAATGCATTTTTCTTTCGTTGCGACCATATGCACATATCAAACAAAAATATTAACAAACGACGTGTGCTATATGTTTATACGGGGTGTCTAAAAAGTCACCGTCTATTTGAACTATTTTTATTAATAGTTGGTAACAAGTTTCTAAATTTCAAACTTTTGTACTTTTTACTTTTACACATCACATCGATGCAGGAAACAATTTTTTCTTTGGCACATGCAAGGAATAAAGTCAATTCATTTCGAAAATTCGTATTTCTTCTCGCAATTAAGTGGTAAATTTTGTATTAAATTTGTTAATATAAGACAAACATTTCCTTTAAATCTGCTTGAAACATTTGTTGAAATTATTCGACATTTGTCTTTATCAGACCGATACATTTCTTTATTATACCGTTTTATTTTTTCCACCCCGAGTACAGAGTGTCAAGTGTCGCGTCATGTGTTTTTTCAACGGGTAAAATGCGATCATAGGGAACAATTTAAATCGTCATGGGAGAAATAAACGCTGCTGCAGACTCTTTATCTGCGTACGCGTTCAGAGCTAGTGTTAACTGGTTATCCTCGGTCATGCTAAAATCACCACTGGTCAGCTAGGTCTTGCACGATCCTGTAGTCGGGGTACCACGTGTCATTGATAATTCTTGAACTCCGATCAACCGTATTTCTCCAACAAATACAAAGAAACGTGCACGATGATTTTCAAACGATTTATCAGTCGCAGACACGTTATATCATCAAACGAACAATTTTTAACGAGCTGACATGTGTCATTCGCTGAGGAATTATACTAATTTAAATAAAAAATTGTAACAAATTTACAATGTCAATTAATTATAAATTTATGCATTTCTCATAAATCTATCATATTTATGAACCTCCGGCGAATAAAGAAAATTAATCAAATTTATGAATTCCATAGCTATTTATTTACATAAAATTCCAAGAGTAAACATCACGCGTATATGAAATCGGTTGAGTTTATGCGGGAATGGAATTATAGGGAGGAACTGATTATGATAAAGTGTTTAGGTTGTAATCTCTCGACTAAAGAAATATATGTATAGTGTTTGTATACACGAAAGATACAGAACAAGTGTATCCTATGCACATATTAAACGAACCGAGCGAGTAAACATTCAAATATCACGCTACCGATTCTACTGTATGATATGTTACAGTAAACACGAAATAATAAATTAAGGTAGACTGGATAACCTGATTTTTTATTTTGTCATTTAAAAACGAATACTCGTACAGCTGATAACTTTTCATTTCAATTGATTCGAGTTTCGTAGAATTGACCAGTGCAAGTATTACGAATTAGCGGATACCGTTGTAGAATTTTCGAAAGCGGAATTTCGAATGGCGATTTTGCAATGGAACCGCAATATTAGAAACAGCTACACACACGCAAATAAAGAGACGTTCGACGATTTTCTAGACTGTTAATAACACGAGCACAGTGTTTGTCGCGAATATAGCTTTAAGTTAACAATTTCATGATAATTCTGCGGTAAATACCATTACTGATTTTTCAAGGAAAAGAGGCGAGAGGACAAAGAGAACTTTTTTAATTATCGATTCGTTACGTGTTTGGTGCAACCATTTCCCTCCATCGAACAAAATTTTATTTCATCGTTTACAGCAGAAAGGATCCCATTACAGATTACTCTACCGTATCATATTAACCACCTAGGTGCAGTTGATACATTCACATATAAAGTAAACTTTATCACATACATAATAAAAAACTGTTAGACATCGAAGAGTCGAAATACAGACTTTGAACCGACGCCGACGGTATGTCAATGGCACAATGATAATGACAGCAGACAGGAATCAGAAATTTCTTCTGACTGCGAGGATAACCTTCAAGTTCAGTTTGATTACGGGCTCGTTGTTTCTATTAATGAATTGCCGAAAAGAAAGTGATAACGATATTGTTGAGCAGGACGCTAATGCGGGTACAATGACAACTTCAAAGAAACTTACGATTGGTTCATCGAGACGTAACAAATAAGAAATACTATATTCTTTCTTTTTGGATGAAACCATCATTTGTCATTCGAATTTTTATAACGTACGCGATTAAGGGAACAAATGAGGAAACAAAGTTGTTGATTAGTGATTTGAAGAAGATGCAGTTATTGACGTCAGTATGCACTAGATACGCTAATAAAACAACAAAATGATTCACGTAGTTCCCTGTGAGTGGAACAAACATTTGGGAACAATGTATTCGTCGAATAGCAATACATTTCAATTTTCGAATTTTTCCACCCCGGAAACAGTTGGACGGGATAACTTTGGAGAAGCCTCGACTCTGTTAGGTTTCGCTGAATTAGATTTCGACCTTGTACATCTTCGATTGATTACACAAGTGGCTTTATCTACATTCTTCTTCTAAAAAAAAAAAAAAAGGCAATTCAATTTGAAATCCATTGGTTGATCGTCAAAGGAGATGACCTTGGCATTCGAAAGATTACACATTCAACTATGCTTGCACAACGCACACAAAAGCTCAACGTTTCTACGTTCACTATTATAACGTGATTTTGTTTGGATATGTTTAAAAATTGCGAGGAGGCCGCGTCGATGCTCGGAAAAAGTATTTGAATTGGAATGAAGGAAGACCGTTTTACGCGGAACCGTTACGCGAACGAGGGAAACGAGGAAATAAACAAAGAAAACGGAATACCGATTGCGGATACTTAACGAGAACAATATCGGTGTCTACATCCACAGCATCCATCGTCGGGACAACGAAATACGTTCGAATCGCAACCTGATAACGTTGCGGATAAAGCATAAAGCTGATTAAATTCAAGAGAACGACTGAAAAGGACGGCGAAGCGTGCAAGTTTTCTGCGGTTTAAGTTGGGCCTGAAGCCAACGAATTACTTGGGGTGACGCCCAATGTCGGCTTTAAGATCGCCTTCGATCGAGTTAATATTCATCTGTAACGTCAAGTTTCTTTAGTCACGAGACGAATTGATTATTTGGATCCCCAGCCGAACATAGGATAACGTTACTGCCCGGGAATGTCCATTCTCATGCGAATCAGTTATTGTAATACGCACACGGACCAAAGTTCGACTTCACTTTGCGTACAGACCACAATGTCCAAGTGTAAAAAAATGTCAAATTGTCGTCCAGACCTTCAATATTCAATTCTTTCGATACTATATACACGTACATATACTTACTACTTTCCAACGCAAAATACACTTAATTTGAACACATTCTTTAAACGAATACCACCAAAGTCTTCGCTTTTTCTATTCGATAATTTCGTTCCGATAACTTCAGACGTCTAAAACGCAGACTAACGCTAGCAAAACAATTACTGGGAAATAAAAAAATTTTTGTAAAAGATAAAACTTCCCCACTGCGTATCAAATTCGCAATTAGAGCTTCTTATAGATTAAAACGATACAACGATAAGATTAATAGTATATGGATATACACGTAACAACGGTATTAAAATATTAGAAATTCCAGCCAAATTATAACTCTGGATTGATTATTTCGTGAACAAATTGCAGATTTTTTTTTTTTGTTATCGATGATGTCTTTTATCGTAGATTATTCAATTAAAGACAAAAATACACATGTGTTATATAAATTAATACGACTCTGCGAAAAGATATTCGTTTACTTGAAATGCAAAGTTTATAAAATGTATTACGAGTAAGGAATTAGAAAAGTTGCTTGTCGCTAACTACAAACGGAAATAATGGCGCGTAGAAATTGTCAGGAAATCGATATCATAAATCAAGTGTCAGATAACAATCGTCCCGGCACTGGTTACAATACATTCTTTAGATAGACGTATAGTACACGATGTTTGACTTATGACTAACAACGCAATCTAATTTTCCTTTGTGACATGTTTGTAGAGTTTTTAATAATTTTTCATACAAAACGAATGAAAGAAAAAAATGAAACTTTTATTCGAAGGATTTAGTATATATTTTTTATAAACATGTTTTGTGACCTTCTCGAAAGATAATCCGTAGCTACCACTGACTATAACATCTGTTGGTATTTGTTGTGGTTACGTACATACAAGCAAGCATTATGCAACTCCAGTGACATAATACAATATTCCAACTTGAGCGTTTTCTGACATAATGGCATTAATTTGATAATAAAACAGCTTTCGATGTACGTCACTCGCAAAGAATCTAATTGTGTTTTTTTATAAACTGTCGAACGAGTATTGTGTACTTTCGTGAAACTTTACTTATAAATTAAAAACACATCGATCAGCGAATCAATTGTAATCTTCGTTAACGCGTTGAATAGATTTAAATAGATTCATTCCGATATGTATACGATGAGTTTTGGTAGTAGCTGACTTGAACCGTACCGATATTCCCGCGCAAAATGCTACTCGCAGTGACAGGGACGCGCTCGTGCAGAACAATCTCGAACCAGGGAATCGGGAAAAGGAAAAGATTTGCATCATACATATATGAATCATCGTTTTGCTAGACCGAACCTGGTTTTCTGTTCGTATATTTTTACCCAACTGTACGATGTAAATGGTTATTTAGAAATCAATTTCTAAAAAATGTACCGTGCAACGATCTAAAGTCCAACGGAAATTAAAATATAATTCTCGCGATACCTATGTAAAATTACCAGAATCGAGGAAATAAATATTCGTAGACAAAGCAGCTGTCAGACGATCGACGTCAGTGAGTCGATTAAAATTAATTATTCAAATAGTCTAGACTGTTAATAAATTACATATGTATGTCATAGGTATGTATTAATAAACTTCTTCGAGTTGCTTTACATTAAAAATACGAGTCATCGATAATTACCATTTCAAGTTAATCGTCTAAGGTTTTCAAGAAAATATTCGATTAAATTTCGCAAGAATTTCATCGGAGAAATAGTTCCGAATAATGCACGAGTCAAATTCTTAAACTTTCGCTTTCCCTTCCGTTTGCCACGTGATACTTTTCTCAATATTTGTCCATAACCTCTGCGCTACAAACGCTTTCATATATGTACCACCTAAGTACATCTATAGATATTTGCTACATCTCGCGATGCATTTCAGTTTTATTAAAACAATTCACAAAGAACAAGTACCTATAAAAGTATTCAAATTGAAATAAAGGATAGTTAGTAGCAGGCCGTTTTATCCATCCGTTTGAAATAGATATTATTCGAGGTTAGTGACATTTTAAAACAGCAGTGAAATTCTTAGCCGCATTTGGACTCGTTACCCCCTTGAGTGCCCATAGATAGCTACACCGCTATTACAGAGATACACACTCACCCGTTGCAGGAGTTCATGATAGCCTTGTAGGAATTCCTCGCAAACCTGACAGGTCGACGGGATGCTTTCATGCTTCAATATTTTGGAATTTTTCAACGTGTACATTTCCCAACGAATAGAAATAACCACGTTCACCGACAACTTCCTCGTGCGCTCGACGGCCGATTAAGCCAGAACTGAACCGAACGATACGTGTAATCGTAAATTATGCTCGAGTCACGAGCACAACAACAAAAAAAAGACAGTAATGTAAATACCGAGATAGATGAAAAATGATTTGGCGAATCGTACCAGCAAAGAAAACGAGCCTCGCCACGACCAGCGATTTGAGAGCTCGGAGTCCGATCTCGAGACTGAGGAGCTCGAAGAAACAGCGGGGGAATCGAAATGAAGATATTGGTTCGCCAATCGGGGAAGCCCCCCACCGGTCGCTTGTAACGTCGGCGACGCAGCGACGTCATGCTTACACATGCTAACGTATCTCTCGAGGAGATAAACCTCTATTGCACGACATTGCTCTTGCATTAGCTTTTCGAACGTCTGCGAATGTACAACGTTGAAACAAAGACCCCAGAGATAGTTAGAATTTAAGGCAACCGTGCATTTTAATTAGGTCTTCACGATTAAGAAGAACGTGCGACCACGTGCCCCCTTTCTCGGGTGAAAGTTACCAATTCCAAACATGCCAATCGCACACGACAGCTACACGTATCGAGCTACAAGGTACATCTCTTTAGTGTACAATACTTTTTCCACGAAGGTGCAGATCGTAGCGCAGCTGCATTACGGAAATACACACAGGAATAATGAAATACGTCATCGTATGAGAAAACTGATACTAGACAGAATAGTTGACTCGATTTACATTCGATTCGATTCCAAATTTACGCCTTAAAAGTTTGAAAATTCCGAACCGTCAGTTTTTCTAGACGGTTATTGGTTGCGAGCTCGGGGCCCGAAGTAATCGCGATACGGCATTCAGAGTGTTCCATATCCACTGGGGACTGCTCGGCAAACGATGACCTCACAACCTAGTACCTATGTACACGTATGGCTGACGAAACGTTGAGAGATATTTCATCACATCGAGAACCTCTTCCTAGGGCCTTGTCGAAGGTTAATCCGCTACTACATACATGTATAGCCTATAAGTATACACGTTCATATTCATATTTCACGCTTTAGTAACTAATCAGAGTACCTTACTAAACTTTATCACTAGAAAAATAGAGTTCCATATAATATCACACAGTAGCAATCACCTTTCTAAGGATAACCTAGAGACGTTCAAGCTACCTTTTAAAATTTACCATGGTACCCGATAGATTGATGGAGATAGCGGGCGCATTCTAATGCGCATACGCGTCCATTCCCCACTACTATTCTGCTGGTATAGTAAATTTATTATAATTCGGATTTTTAGGAGCTTAGCTTCAACACCACTTGATTAACCAGAAATCAATTGTTAAAATAAAATAAAACTCTTGCCGACTGCACCTAGGTGTAGCGAATATTATTTACATCTTTAAAGCACATCAGTCTATATATATATAAAACGTAACGAAATTGCAAAAAAAAAATGTCTACGAATTCAATTTACATAAATATAATAATTTGTGGTGCGCTAAGCTTAAAGAAGAGTGTTCGAAAGCAAATCAAAGAACTGATCTATGTCGAAAACGACATCGTAAGCACGAAGAGGTTAATCAACATAAGCAAATAAATGTTACCTATCCAGTTTACTGATTCTGAACAAGTGTAACTTAATGCTTTTGATGGATGTGTTAGCGGGATATGAACAAAATATCGTTATTACTGAGAATCAAGGAAAAAAAATTATAATCGTGCGTTAAAAATATTTTGTTCTAAATCACTTTTGTCGCAAGTAATATTTCCACTGTTCCAAATAATGTATTATGCTGCGATGTAGCTGTACACGATAACAGTTTAAAGAATTAAATTACATCTTTAGAAAGCGTATCGCACGATTCTCACAATCAGTCTACTCCTCTACTATGAGAAGGTAGACGGTCGCAGAGGAAAAAAAAAAAGTTCCGATGGCGCACGCGCACGATGATTGCACTTTGCGCATGACCATGCGAAATCGAGTAGGTAAGTTGGTGGTGGAGAACGAACCAAGCGGGGAAAGGTGCTGGAAACAGCTGGGAGACCGTCAAGGTCATTTCAAATGACAGTCACACGTCACACCTCCGGTCGAGCCTTCTCCATCGACGAATCGGAGCCCAGAATCGATTCGATCGTCCCCCCATACACATCTAACTACACTCACGAGTTCATTGTACAAGAGCTAGCATGCAAACGCTCTGAACCATTTCCCACTATTGCGCTTATTTTCCGCTAACGACGAGAAATGATTAAACAGGTGTTACACAAAATTATTGCACACAGAAAAGGCCAATCGAGAGGGTTGATTCTTTTAACCCTCATTTTCAAACCTACACGTAATTATTATCGACAACATAATCGTATGGATGTACTCACGTTTGTATGATGCCAATATTCGATCAAACCCAGAAGATCGGTGCTGGGGGCATAAAGCAGAAAATCTCGCCACTCGTTGAAGCTTATAGTTAAGCTTCCATCCTTGTCCATTCTATAAACCGATATTACAAAACCATGCATTTCACGTAAAACATTGATACCGTGTCGGACGTGTGTGTAAACCAGGCCTTTCCAACGCGAGGAGAGGAGTGCGACCCTGAGAGAGAGAGAGAGAGAGAGAGAGAGAGAGAGAGAGAGAGAGAGAGTGCAAAAGAAGTTTGGAAACGGCTGGTACACACGCGTAGAATTCGCCATTACGTTAAAACTTACCTCTGAAGCAATTTCTTCGCCTCCGCGTAGTCCATCTTGATCCCTAATTCTTCGAAAGACTTTATTAATTCCTCCAAATCGATTCTCCCTACAAAAGGAAAATTAAGCGGCTGTATCCTTTTTGTAGCGTCAATGAACATTTTAAGTCGCATTTAAACGAATAATTAACGATCGATAATAACGACAACGAATTTATAGCTCGACTACCCTGCGCTTCCATGCATTCACTCACCATCCTTATTCTTGTCAAGATGGGTAAATTGTAGACGTAAATTTTTTTCATGCTCGCGAACGTAATGTATAAATTCCGCCAGACTAATATCGCCGCTCTTAGTGCTGTCCGAACGAGCCAAAAATTCCTGAGAAAGAAAAATAATTCGTAGCTGTTATTCTATCTCAACCGAGTTTCGGGTTTCAAAGAGCACGGAAAATTACAAAATAATTGTAGTAGAAAAAAAAAATTTCAAGTACTACTTAATATATGAATGTAAAATAGGAATGAAAATAATTGCGCCCAACCTACTGCATATACTGCATATACGCGTTGTAATACGTTACTTATCGCAGTTTTCTAAAATCACTAATAAGACGCATCGACCTTGTACGAAACAGCATAAATTGGATTTAGTACGAAATGTAAGCAATATACATACAGACGTGCTTCGAGAATATCGATGATTAACCTATTTTAAAATATACTACTCTGTTCAAGTGCAATCGATATTGTTCTGTAGCAAAAAATTCCTCGTATTTCAAAGAATTCGATTTGTTAAATAATTCTATTTCAATGTCGCGTTCTAATGTATTACGAATAAAAAAAATAAAGAACACACAGTGTACAGTTGTACACATACAGTTGTAATTTACAGGTTGCAGTCAAGTTTTAAAATGAGCCATTTAAAATCGATAATAATGCTATTCTTCGTTAACATGATTGTAAGATTATTTTATATAACATCTACGGTACGTCTCCTTTGTACCTATATATATACATATGTATATATGCCTTAAGGGGCGAGCCGTGAAATCTAAACAAATCTTACTTGAGATACTTTTAAGATTTACGATCAGAATCGATGACATTACAAAATTCTCAATAGAAATTTTTAGCAGAAAAATAATGGAACATCGAACGATTCTTAATTTATCCAAGTCGTCTGAAAGGCTCACGCAACGTCCGCATTATGTTCGATCGTAAACGTGTAACAGCAAACTACATCGAATTGAAATATCAGAGACTTGAAAATTAGACGTATACGTATACGTTCATTTATTAATCCAATTTGTAAATAGAAATATAATTGGAATTACCTCGGCATAGTATTTGTCCACTCCGACCTTGCGGAGTGCCTTCGACAAATCCTTGACGTCGATTTTTCCTTTTCCGTCCAAGTCTAAACTCTGAAATATCTTTTCCAGTCTCTGTTCATCCTCTGCCGGCAACTCGTGCAGATAGTGCGGTGGCATTATGCCGTGCACACCACTTCCTCGATTACCGGGCATGGTTCTGTCACTTCCTATATTGGCAAACTGTAAACGAATTCTTTCTCCAGCATTCACGCGGCGTCACTGTTAATCTCCGTTGCTTCTTTCCGTTCTCTTTTCCCTTTTCATAAATACTTGTCCAGCAAACCGCTTTACTAACTCTTTATACGGTCACCGCATGAAACATTTCGATCGTTACACACGCCTACGAGGTAACTCATAACTGCATCACACACGTGGCCTGCACAGCGGCGTATATCGATTCCCCGATAACTCGCACACTTTCTATCCACCGAAGGACGTTATCCTGGCGTTATATTCGTCGCGTTGTTTCGAGTTTAACACGTTCCCTTGCGATACTTTATATAGAAAGGCCAGCGGTGTCCGTGGAAAATGTATCGGATCCCCACACCCTCTTTTCGTCACACGAATCTACCCAAATCGAACGTATATTTGTCGCTCACCATACCGTAATTGTTTCCCCACGATTATAACCGAACACTCGAACGCTCGTCTTGGTCTACGCACAACCGCGCAACTAAGTCCGCCGCCAGTGGAACATCATGGAATATCCTGGCTCCGTACGAGACTATCGGCAGAGCCATCTGCTAACAAACTTACGAAACATGGACGTTGTACGGTCTCGATCGATAAAAAATACTATGTAGTCGCGATTTCCCGATTGTTCCCGATACACAAATTATCTTACTCTTTCGCATGCCGAATACATTCTCATTTCCGACATTGATTGTGTATTTTTTGTTTGAAAAGTTCTCGTGTTCAAAAAAACGATGCGATCCTTTCAAATATCACGCAAAGACAACCCTGCTGGATTACACTATGTAGTGCTCGAACTTTGACATCGGTTTTTAGGTTTTTCTTGCATTATGGTTTAATTCAGGTATTGGCACGTTTGCTCCATCGAGCAAGTCAGTGGCAAGCAACTTCCCCACCACCACTGCTGGTGGTGATGGTATGGTATATAGTGACAGTGAATCGCAGAGCGTGACAGTTCAGCAAAGTCCTAGAAAGAGAGCGAGGGAGTCTTATGGAGGGGATAACGGGGCAGTACATAGTACCATGAGTGAGGGAAGCCTCAACACCATGTTTCCCTACCCAATTCCGAACCCTGTTGCCTGTTGTATGTACTTATATTGAATATAAAATTAAATTTTTGTATAGATAAAGATGATGTTGTATTTTCGTCCTGTACGTTACTCTTCAACCATCTCGAACTATCCGCCTTTCAAAGATTAAACCCTAGAATCAACTGGAATAGCGATATTTCATACATGTCTATTGTTATTTTTAATGCCAATGTTAAAGAATAAATTTTTAATGCAATTTAACAAACAGGAATCGATACTGTAACCAAATATCAATAAAGAAGAAAAATTCACGTTTATGTTGAATAGATAAATATATTACAACTTTCACTTACAGTACACTTGTTAGAAAATACATTGAACTTTTATGGATTTTCGTAGACAATACAAAATATTAAAAAAATTTTATCTTGCAATGCAACATTATCCCCGATTAAGTGTTTCTTTTTTCTATTGTCAAGCATTCGTATCTCAAGTTTCATTCTATCTTGTACTCGCATGCAATAAATAATCGGAAAAAAAGACCCAGCGTATTGATTTTAGCATTTCCTAAAATAGTATTCTCTACATAAAAGGTCGAATATTTATGGAAATTATATCTACAATTGTAATTCTGTACGAATGCGATAGTATAAGATAGGTTTCTCTATCGGCATAAATTTCAATATCCATTTTTATGTAAACCCGAATAGTGAACAAATGCGGGATGGTAAGTATTTCTGTGAACGTACCACATGTTTATGTTATAATGCGACTTTTTCCATAGTTATTTATTTTAGAAAAATACATTAAAAATGCCAGACTAACAATTACATTAAACGTAACGGGCATCGCGAATATATGACACTATCCAGATACGATTAATATTTTCTATGTAAAGTTAACGAAACAAACATTGCAGAATTTTAATATTTTTTCTCCGAATGATTTCAAAGACTTTTAATATAATTTCGGTATAAGACAGAGTAAACATTCATACACGCATTGCCCGTTATGTTTACGGCTAATATAACAAAAATCTTACAATAGGGAATTAATTTAACATAAACTGTCACAGAAGTACCATTCGTACCATTAAGTGCCAAGTGCGCGCTGACTATATGCATTATATACCGATATGTATATAATTATCATTGTTTCATATGTTCAAACAAAGAACGTTAATATAGATTGTATGTGGCTTCATACCATTAACATAGGTACGCGTGTATTATTATACACATAGTGACATGTTTAACATGCAATTAATCTGAAGCTTGCACAAACAGTATTGTTGCGCTTATTACTTCCCAGTGTACACAGCCCTCTTCGCTTTTACTCTACATTTATTAACGAGTCATACTACGAATAAAAATAAAAATATAGAAGGGCAACATCTGACGAATGGATCACTAGAAATATTATTGACTATAATTCCTTTAAACGACGGAAACATTTAATGTGTACAAGGCTTTTAGTCGTCCGTATAAAGGAATTACACGAAATATAAAGATCAATTCAAAATAGAAGCTTATGGAATTCAAATTTTATAAATATATACTTTGTATCTGAACAAACTGTGAAGACGGTATTAATTTACAGAAAGGAACATTAAATCTCCCATATTTAACCTTGTGCTCAGACTAAAATGCTCTTTAACATAATTAGAATAGAATGTATACGTGAAACATACGCGCAATGTAATTCTTCTTTCAAAAACTTTTATATATTACGACGTATACAAATGGTAATTGTCATTGAATTTGTAAAACCGTTAGAGTTTGATTTGCAATCATGAAGCTTTATTTTAAAGAAACATTCCAAGTCTTCGTTATAAATGTAACGATTATTTTAATCTAAAAACTATGTTTCTTTTTTTTCTTCATATACTCGTATTATTTTATCGAAATGCAAAATCAAAATATGGCCCCTTTCTGCAATATTATAACACATTTTCTTCAGTACTATGGCCAATTGTGTTCGTAACGTTCAAGTATAATCGTATTACAAATGTATAGCGATTGCAAATTAAATTCTTATAATCGCAATAGAAAATTTGTACTACATAAATTTTAAAGTCTTTATAGTTTTATCTGTGAAACCAGTAACAAAATAAATAAAGTTTCTAACATACTTCTCAAATACATAAATATAGTTTTGAATCTAGACATAATTAACACCAATGTCATCTTCAATGTAGAACAAATAGTTTAGTGTTTGTATGTTTTGCACGTTTAAATCTGTAATGGAAACATTATTTTGCACAAGTCTTACAAGTCAATTCATTTGCATATAAATATTTTTTACTACTCCGCATAATTTCATGTAACGTGACTATTTTTTTTTCAATTAAGAAATATATAAATTTATCTACTAAAATAAAAGAAACTGACTTTCGTTACAACTTTTTGACAAACATACTTTCCTTGAATTCCATTACAAATAAAAGAATGTTGTGTTAGTAAATAATAAAACAAATAAAATTGCACCATTGTTTATAATTTTCATAAGAAACTAGTTATGTTCCGAGATTACATTTCTTTCCAGTTTAGAACAATGTGCCTCGTATCGCAAAAACTTGGAAATACCGAATTTAACGCGTGCAAGTGCAAAGTGTTTCATTCAGTTTTGTGTTGCTGCATTGTTTACAAAAGGCACATTTTAGTTTGAAAGAAATACTCTACTTGAACATATCTAGTTTTGTGTAGCAAGGTAAAACAATATTTTTAATGAGAAAGACAGAAAGATCAACTTTCTTTGATCTCTACGTTTCATAAAAGTCTATGTCACTTCCACTAAAACTGGAATTATTAATATTTATGCTATACATTATTTAAAAAACAAAAAAAAAGAAAAAAATAATAATAGAAGAACCCAAAAGCTATTGCAATGTATCAATCACTATACTATAAAGAAGTTGCAATTTGATCAACATGTTCGATTTAACAGAATTATGTTATCATATCAATATGAAATTTAAATTAAACGAGTTCGAGAAAATTTCCGATTAAGGAAAACGTAACGTTAAGGTAAATGTAATCAACGGATGTCATATCAAATGCAAAAAATAACAAAGAATGTAAATTTCTTATCAGTATAATCAAGTACACAGGTCATTATATTTTTGTTCTGAGGAACGTTAGTTTCATATTTTATAATACAAATAACGAACAAAAATAAGGACTAAACGGTATGCCAATAGTATTAACATGAACGAAATCATGTTCATCGTGAGAAATTAAAGCGACAGTTGAGTGGAAGCCAATGTGACTGTTTCAGTTTCTTCTATGTCCGTAAATCGTACATTATTACAAACGTGAGAGCTGCAGTTCGCAGTACAGTCTGTTCATTTCAATTCTTTCACTTTTTTAGTAAAAAATTGATCGAAACGAGAGGCTTTCAAACTATTTGTTATAATTTATGAATATAATAAGTTTATCCAAAAATAAAGGTAATAGTTGCTGGATTAACACAGAATACAGTTTCATTTACGCATATTATGTATTATATACATTGTACATGGTATATGCTACTAAACCATAAAATTCTAGTAAACGTTTCTAATAAATAAAAATAGAAATATTTGATTTCCGCATTAATGACTATAGTTTGAAAACCACTGTTTCAACATATTCAATTAGAAGTAGCAAATAAAATGCAATTTTTTTTTTTTACCAGGCACAAATGGAATCTATAATTAATTTCCCACTATATAGTGTGAAAATAAAGGAAAATTCTATACACACTATTGAATTTTTCTCACTTTTCTTGTTCAAGACTTTTAAGTGTTTGAAACTGCAATACTTAAGTAATTTATCTGTATACTTTATAAAAAGAAATTAACCTCTTAATTTTTCTATTTATAACCTCATTTGTATATTAATTTTTTTGTAATTTATAATAAATTCAAAAGTACCTGTCGATAATTATTCCAAAAGAATACGAATTTCGAATAAAATCTCAAACATAAATAAATTTTCGTAAACAGATCTGCATAAAATCAACAACATTTTATGAAACACGTAAGAGTTGAACAAAGTACGATACGATATACTATTTTACCGTGTTTTATTCGAAAACATATTTTCAAATATGAAAACATGAATCGTGGAAGAAAGCTACGTATTTTTAAAAATTTTGTTTTATCAGCTAAAAATTAATAGTCATATATATTATATATATATTTATAATTAAGATATATATAAATCTTAATTAGGAGCAATATATATCTTAATTACGCAAAATTTTAACAGAATATGTTAATTTTGTGTATGCATAACATCTATATGTATTCGTATATTTTTATTATATAACCTTGTTGCAGGTTAAATAGCATTCTTTCCGAATGTATCAGTAATATAATATCCTTTGCTTCATTGTGCAAACATATAAACAAAATATACTACATCCTGTCATGTTTATAAAACACTGACATTAATTTCTGTTAAATTTTAACAAATCTG